CTCTCTCTCTCTCTCTCTCTCTCTCTCTCTCTCTCTCTCTCTCTCTCCCCTTTATTCTTCTGTCTGCCTCTGTTCGTAATCACCATCGACGAGTTTTCTCCGTTGCTCCTTTTCCATTTCCCTCCGTCTGTGGCACAAACCGACGAGCACCGAGAGACACTCTTGTCGAGGGCTCTCGCCGGAAGAAAGCGGTAACGACGTAACGCTCTTGGAACGTAACAGGGAGAGCCAGGAGAACCTGGGCCGCCGGGGCCACCGGGCCCCCCAGGACCCGAAGGGCTTCCTGGACACGAAGGCAGGCAAGGAGTTCCAGGCGACGCCGGCCCGTCAGGCGAAAAAGGACCACCAGGACCGATCGGACCGATTGGTCCGCCTGGAACGCCAGGGCTTCAGGGTGCCAAGGTAAATTGTCGCTCAACTTTTACACCGAACGTTCAACAGTCGTAATCGTCGGTGACAATTTAATGCATTGATCGCTTGGTCATCCATGTATACGTGACAGGGCTTTTCGCTAATTGATTCTGAACAGCGAAGTTTGTTTGGCGAAGTCGTAAAAATAAGTACAACTTTAAATTGAATAAAAATAAGTTTCAGCTGTGTAGATACGAAATGTTAGCCTCATATTTTTCACGAGTATTAGTCTGGCAATTAACGTATTAGAGGATTTAAATTTGTCCTAGAGTGACTCGTGTGTCCATCTATAAGGAAATTTTTAAAAATAATCCCTCGGTAGCTTATATGCAGTGGCATTGTTAAAACGTATATATTCACGTAATTAACAAAAATATTTTCCTAATGATAAAGATGCATATAAATAGAATCTAAAAAGAAATGTCAGGATCTGCATTTATTTCCTCGGAATTAATTCCCAAAGAAGATTATGATCTTCATCTTATGTTCATGTTTGCGATGAAATTTGTACTTATGGTTCGTTACAACCATAGTCAAAACAAGTAAGAAAAAAATTGCACAGCTCAGTTGAAACAGTGTGAATTTTAATAACGTAAATCAAACAATATACGCGTTCAATGTATAATAATAATAATAATAATCATGCGACATTCAATAAAGAATGAACCTTGATCTATACGGACCACGAACAAAGCTAAAGATTAACTTAACTAGATGAATACAATTCAAGCTCGAGTATTATTTGCATAAAATATTCGAGAAATAACTATTTAAATGATTAAATAGTTATGATGTCATTATTTGACTGGATGTTGTTCTGAAATAATTCTGCGTTAATTTATTTGAACGACTAAATGATTCTCTATCACAAAAAGTAATTGTTTATTGAAGTTTTTAAGGTTTAAAATTCTAAATTATGCAGAATATTTGAATAAAGTAAAATAAAATGATTTGAAAATAACTCGCTCAATTTGGACATAAAATAAACTTACTCCTCAAAAGTTACTTTCAAGATAAATAAACTACCAGTGATCGAAATTACTCGCTACCTTAAATTGTTATTTTATATTATCAATCCAAATAAAATTTATCCAAGCCTGTTGCAAACTGACCTAACGACAATCAATTTTGGTCACAAATAAAATATCATCGAACTCCTTCGACCTCTTGTAAAATTCACAAATTGACGGTACCCTCGTAATTCTGTTGAGATCTGACGTCTCACTTGCTGGTTATTGCGTTAAATTAATTGGTGGATGTAGCTTAGCTATGTTATAGAAATTCGCGATGGTATAACAGAGCAGTTCGAAGTTTACGAACCGTTCTCGAATCCTCCGAAAGTTCTTCCATCGTAAACAACGAGGTCGGATAACCCGACTTGTCCTACTTTATCAGGGCCATTGTTAGCGTCGTTCCAAAGCTACGACATTCATTAATCGAAATTACATTATTCGCAGGGTGACAGGGGCGATAAAGGCGACCGTGGTTTAACGACGTCCATATCCGGCGAACCGTTTGCAACTGGAGTATTCGAAGGACCTCCTGGTCCTCCAGGACCACCTGGTAAGCATATAGGCGGTACAATTTTAATTCTCTCGAGACTGATAGCCGTGAGCATAATATATTCAAGCAGCTCAGGTTGACGGCTGCTCGAGACTGTATGAATTTATGATTTCCGACTCTCAGACGAAGAAAACTTTTAAGATTATTACCAGACTGCGGATGCTTATGCATTTATGGCAATTCCAAATATTTCAGTATAAATAACGATGTAAAAAAAAAATGCAAAAAAAAATATAAACAATAATAATATATGTGTTATACCGTGTAGAAATTGAAACATACTATTCTTCTCTGTACCTTTGATAATATGAATTTGCGTAAACAGTCGCAGTCTATTAATTATCCAGACGTAAAAATACTTTAGGCTTGAACTTCGGAGTATTAACTGCGTTATTAGTTATCAGTGGCAGGTGGAATTCTATTTGTTTATCCTTTTGAGACACATCTGTGTATACGTAGAAATAATTTAATTGAGTACGATAGTAAACATTCATACTTGTGCAATATTTAACATTTTCAATGAACGTGAGAAATCTATGATCAAATAAAATTTATTTTGTGAGAACACTAACATTTGCTTCATCTTTAGTTGTACAGGAATTAAAACGAGATTTATCATAAAGCAAGTTCTTTTTTTCTTATAAAAGAGTTGCATCATTTTAGAATATTCTTTTGTATCATTTGTTAGGTGAGCATTTATGCATATCTATTTATATATTTATATATATATGTTTACATATATGCATAAATGTATACTTGACAAATGACATAAAAGAATATATATATTAAAATGGTGAAACTTTTTCCGTATATATAACAATCATAATATAATATCTCAATAAGTAGACCATAAAAAATCGTGAAATGTATATAGTAGGTTCTATTTTTTCAAATATTGGCGACTACTATTATACAATGCTGAACACTTTTAATTTATAATATAAAAGTATACCTATGTTTTCGATTTAGTATCATTAAACTGCTGATATTCATGCATTTATGATAAATGTGGATTAATGCAATGATATATACAAATGCATAAATACGTTGAATGTAAAAAATATAATGCTCGTAACAATATTTAGACGACAAAATATCCTTTAATTTACATTTCTGTTCTTCATTTATGTATATAAAGACATGAATTTGCATAAATATCTGCAGTCTATCATACAAGGAAACACTGTCTTGTCGGTGATACCATCGGTTCCTCCGGATCCTATCTGTATTTTCCAGGCAAACATGTTTGTGTTTGCAACAGCTTGGGAAATACTCGTGTGTACACACTTAAACTGGACGTACTGTAGATTCTAAATATACATACAATTACGGAGAGAACTGCAGGTATTGACTTCTCCTTATGAATGTTTGCTTTTTACGCTCAAGTCAAGTTATCAATAACAGTGAGGTGGTCTCAGATGGCTGATAACTAATGATGCAGCGGATTACGTGTTGATAATATTCGAGCAATTCGATATTAAAATGTTTAATAGAAAGTATCAAGGATTATTAAAAATTTCTGGTGCCCAGTTGGTATCAATTATCGATACAAACATTTTTGAAAAATTACTCAAAGAGATATTTTAAATCACTGGCTGGTATTAAACTTGGTGGTACTTTAGAATAAATATCCATAAGTTTCGGGTCAATAATTAAAAAAGTACAGCATATGCATTACAAACGTATCAGAAGTACAAGATAAGGTCTAATCAATATAAGGTAAAGAGCGCAAGCAAACAAATACAGCCACTAATTATTACAAAATCTAATCTTTGTAAATAATTATCAATTATAATATTAAAGCAAATTCTTCGAAATATTTTCGTAACGTAGTAAAAGTTTAAACAATTTTTTATCCAGTCAATAAGTCTTTAAAACCTTCCCCAAATATTCTATCTTCACCAGTATACGTACAACCCAGTAGTAACCGTTTAAATGTTAGCACAATTTAAACGACATCGAATCTGCCCCGCGATACGCCGAGAAATCGATCGTACGATCCGTATCACTCGAACCTTGGTGATAAATTGCGTGTGAAATTGCAAGTGTAATTGCAGCGATTTACATTCGCGTCAACCACGTACGCAAAACGTTGCAGTAAAAGTTGCAAACTAATTCGGAAGGGAAACGGTGGTACGGACTGTAAATCACTCGTTTTCCGCGCTTTCTTGCGGTCATTTGTCCGCATTTGTATGCGTAGAAAGCATTAGACCGCACAGCAAAGCGATTTACGATCGGCTACGCGCACAAACACACTGGAGGCGCTGCCTTAGGTCGATTCATCGTCCAACTTCTATTTTGTTTGCTTTCAACGAGAACCACACGTTGATGTATACAAATTCTCGAAATTGCGATAGGAATTTCAATAGAACTTTAGACATAATTGTTATTAACCATTTGCAAGCGGATATGTCTTCATAGCAAGATTCTAGCAAAATTTATTAGCGATTATACGGTATAAACTCACGTGTGAATAAATTTATCGAAATTGCTTGTTTTATTGAAGTTGTTGAAAAATGTGGTATGTATGTATACTTAAATATGGTCGGGTTATAGTTAGATGTAGTAAGATTTCTTTAAAGCAAGCCAACACAGAAGTCTGACGTGTATGTCATCGAATCACTGTAGAGAGATTTAGTTCATGTGTGAAGGAGTTTGATTTTACAATGCGATGTTCCTAATTAGTGAGGTCTCTAAAGATGTTTCTAAAGAGCTTAAAATAAACCTCTATATTTTCTCTGTATAACACAATAGCCTGATGTAAGTAACCTTAAATCACTGTAGAGAAACTTAGTTAAACTTAGTTCATCTTTAAAGGAGTTTAATTTTACAAAACGTTGTTAGACACAATTCTAAATAGTGAGGTCTCTAATGGGCATTAAAATAAACCTCTATATTTTCTCTGCACAACACAGTAGCCTGATGTAAGTAACATCAAATCACTGTAGAGAAACTTAGTTCATCTGTGAAGGAATTTGATTTTACAAGACAATGTTAGACACAATCCTAAATAGTGAGGTCCTAAAGACCATCAAAATAAATCTCAACACCTTGTCTTGACAACACAATAGCCTCGTATAAATAACATTAAACCACTGTAGAGAGTTTTAGTTTATCTATGAAGAGATTAAGTCTTATAAGATGATGTTAGATAAGATTCTATCTAATGAGGTCTCTAAGAAGCACAAAAATAGACTTCAACATCTTCTTCTACCAGCACGATCGCCTGATGTAAATATCATTGCACCACCGTGGGCTGTTTTGGAGAACAAATTCCCTCTTGCAACATCTGTAAAGCAATTGGAAGACGTTCTGATAGATGAACGAGTTAGCATTCCACTGGGAACTATTCAACAGATGCACGAATCTATTCCAAGAAGCATAGATTCATTTAATAAAAGCATTTAACAAAACAATGTAGCATACTTCACAGATGCGAACACCTGTGAAGTACGCTATATATGTCTACATTTTATGAGATGATTGAATAACGTCCAATGTCATCAGCAATAGACGAGTCGCCGTGAGCGGTCGCTGCAGGCAACATTTTGGAATCTGGGGTCGACTATAGCAACAGAATTAATGGAGGCCACAGACATGACGATTTATCGTACGATGAGTCGACAACGCGGTGCAACGATAAGTGAAACAACTTGTCTGTTTTCCCATAAACGTAACGGTCTGTTGTTCGACAAATGTTGAGTAAAAGTGATGCACTTTATCATGGTAAGAGTTATTTAGGTCTCGACGTGCTTGTTTCGGTGCTGAAATCACTCAGAGAATCTTTAGAACGAATAGCAAGACATATATGGTAAAACAAAACCGCTGGGGATTCCTATTTTTTTTTCATAGGATTTCTATAATACTTTCACATCGCATATTGGTTTTCAAAAACAATCCTAAGAAGACTTCTACCGGTATAAATTTCGACGTAACTTCGGCGGAGACTTTGTATTAAACTTACGTGTTAAAAAGTAAAACTTTGAAGACGAGGATATGTATTGTAGATGAGGTTGTTGGTAACGTGTGGTCTAAGTATAAACAATCTTCTAAGGAGGCTATTTTTCCGAATAAGTACTTTAAAACGGTACCGATCGTGTATTCGATGTGTCAGCACTAATTGTAAGTGTGATAAAATAAATTTGTAAGAGTATTGTCGAGGACATACTTATTTTCATTATTTTTAATTATACCTTTTTGAAAAATTTCTGAGTAAACTGTCAACTATGTATAATTAAAAATAAACCGATTAAGGTCGTGTTTGGACTTATTTTCACCGTGGAAATCTCGTCAATTTATCGCTAATACTCTCACGAAAACGCGAATATAAATATCTAAGTTTTTTTTGTAACAGTTCGCTTATGCTGAATAAGTAATAACACTGTTAGCGATGACGCTGTTACTCTTACGGGAATAATAATTAACCAGGAGTTACTGTATTTTCCTTTTAAAAACTTATGGAATCTGTTGGCAATGACAAACAAATAACCATTGCAAAATATCAGCCTCTTGACTCAATTAATTTTTAAGATGCTACATTTTAATACATTGAAAGCTTTGAACAAATTTAATTAGGTTTTATAATTACTTGGTAATTGTGTGTTTGCTTGCACTACTTATTTCATAACGATATATTTACAATAATTATATACCTAAAGTATATACATATATGCATGAAATTGTACATATACAATAATATATTTACAATACTCTCGATGCCTGTACATTATTCTACATTTTTAATATCGACCAAGTTGTACATCATAAAGGTACCAAGTTAAAAAATGATGCCAGGTATCTGAAAATAAGATTATTTATTGAGATACTGATTGCTACTATTAAGTACTCCGACATTGAATTGCTCGAATACAATGAATATGTAACAGAAACGAATAAGTAAATTATACGATTGAAATAATTTACTTATATTCTATATTATTAATTACTTATAAATTATTAAAATAATTCACAATTGCAATCCAAATTAAAAATCAATGGAGGATACAAATGAGGTGAATTTGGGAAGAGGTAGGATAGCAAGGTTTGGATAAAATAATAGTATCATTTGGTGCCTAAGATGCGCTAGGTTGATCTGCATACTAATTTGCTTTACTTTTTAACTGTTAATTCTGACGGGATTCATAAAAATAAATTGTTTAAATGTATAATACATGTATTAAATTTAAATATTATATACAGTATTAAATACTGTATAAGGTAATGTAGGATCTAGCGTTTTCAAATAGATGGATCACCATGTCAAAGCAACCACTTTTCTCATTCGACGTCAGGCGTTTTGATAACATTGAAATAGGATGCAAATCACGTGAAATAGAGTAACTTCGCAACGTACTCTCGCTGGTTTTGAATTTGTTCAATAAGTGTACAATGATCCGAGTTTGCGGGTGTTGCTTGTTTCTATGAATTCTGCATCCATAAATGAGTGTTTACTTTCGAAAGTATAAATATTGGTATTAAATTCGCTATAAATTATTATTATCGTTATTATTAGTATTCGTAATAAATTGATATCACTATAAGTATTAGTATTAAATAAAAAGACGTATTAAATACGTTTTTATTTTCATGAAGAACGATCTAATTTTTTACGATAAATTTACTATTACGCTAGAAAATTGTTTTTACACTGACATGGTTATATGTAAATTATTATTTTGCCAATTTCAAATTAAGGGTACAGTTCGAAAAATTAAGGAAATATAATTGAATTCTTCAATGCGGTTTTTAAACTAAAATTACGTAATTCTAGATTGAAAAGATATATTAAAATCGTTTGTGTGTTAGTCACTGACCCAAACTTTGAAACTTTTAAAAGTTCTATGATAATAATTACATTCATTATTATCACTGACACCATGCTTAAAAGTTCAATTAATCTTCTTAAAAGCTTAAACTCTCCCTCCTTGATTTCACGTAGCCTCGGTCATTGTTCAATTTCATAAAAATACCTGGCATCCAGTTCGAAAAGTATTCGATTTGGTGTAAAATGATCCAAGTATATTTCAAATACTATACTTATTAAAAAATTAAATGTAATATTCCATGCGATAAATATAAATCTAACATTTTTTGACGATAATTCAAAAATTTTCACAAGTTAAAAGACTATTGTTGGGAAAATTTTTTTCAAACGTTTCGTAATTAAGTGAGCAATAGTTTTATCACTGTCACCTATAAATTATTCAATCGATACAAATTAAATAATTTCAACATACAATAGTCGGAAGGGCAATGTTCGAAGATGGACAACCATTTTTTAGATAGGTAACCAATGACAAATTTGTACGGATTAATCGAATTTTTACTGTATATTTTGTTTTACGTAAACAAATACATCATTTCCAGTTTATTAAATAAACTGAGATAAAATAATAGATCAACCATTATTCCATTTTATTTATCAAAACGGTGTGTCTGCTTACATAAAACAAAATATAAAATGAAAATTCGATTAATTTTCACAAATTTGTCATTGGTTACCTACAAATTATAATAAGTTATAAATCAAGCATATATAGAATAATTATTTACAATTCAATATATATTTTAATTAAAACCAAAGTATGAAAGCAATGAACAATGCTATTCCGCGATAAATATCTCACTTCGTACAAAAATGTAACGGGTGTCGTACACGCGGTTCGTCCCAAAAGTTTCCAAACATTAATTAAAACTCACTCCGTACGTTAGTAATTATAAATTTAAATTTATATTACTCGAAATACATTTCTCACGACGAAATACAATTTTTACTGCGGTCGTATAGCTTCAGAAAACACCGCTGAAAATTTTTTTTTAGGCAGACCGTGTACGCTTAAGAGGCGCGCAGCGGAAGCTGCCGTTACGAAGTCGTAACCTTATTTTCGAACATCGTTCCACGGGAATAATAGCTGTCCCTTTGGATCAGTATATCATTTTGAAACGAGTGAAACGAATTTTCCCAAGAACGCGAAATTTCCGTTGGAACGATTACGTGTGTTCCGGTCGTTGCGCGTAATTTAAGGTGAGAGCGTGAGTGCGTGTGCGAGCGAACGAGCGCCATGTTTTATTTTATGCACGTGATGTACACGCACGCAGGGCCCAAGGGCGAGAACGGGGAGCTGGGTCTGACGGGACCACCCGGGCCGCCGGGAGAGAAGGGTGCCCGGGGAAAGCAAGGGAAGAGGGTAAGCTTCAGCGAGGTCCTCCGGCGAACGACCACCGACCAAATCGACCGTACAAAAACCATTCCCTACCTAACAACCGCCCATAGAATCGACCAACTTTCCATCGATGCTCAGAAAGAAAAAAAAAAAATCATCCTGGTCTATCTCGCGGTATCCTCCCCACTCTGTCCCTCTTCAGCTCACGTTCGTGAACCATCCCGACACCTACGAACGTCCTATCGAGTTTAAGCTCCTCTGTGTGATATGTAATGCACGACAGTAACGTTTTTGAAAGCTTTTCTCGGGCAAGGAGACGCATGCACCTGGCTGAGCATCCATATATTTCTTGGTTTTCTTGAGCAACGCGACGAATTCTTTGAACGTTGTCGAGTTCCCTTCGAACCGCTTAAGCGTTTGAGTGCCAGGGGACATTTTACCAAACTGTGTCGATCTGTGCCACGCGGCAACGGTAGCATTCCCGCGTTCCTGAAAGGTGATGATCAGTTTCGTCGAGAACGTTGTACCGAGCACTCCTGTAATTATAGTTTCTTAAAGTATTTCTATTTTGTTTGAATGTGTGATTAATATACATATTGTACAATAATATATACAATTTATACATATACCTATATATGTATACTCTTTAAAACTAAATAATATGTATATTATATTATATATAAAATTAAGTAATGATAATATAAATTATTATAATTAAATACATATACGTAATACTGTATAATATACATATTGTTTTGTTTTACGTTTAACATAATACAGTTGTTGTATCGTTAACGAAAAGTAATTTTAATGTTGATTTTTCCGGTTATTTTGATTACGGATTGTTTATTTAAAATTATTTACTACAACATGTGTTTAATATAACAGAAAGTGACTCACCGGGGGTATGCTTCGGTATAACTGATTTATCAATAATGAAACCTGATCAGCGCGATTGCGTCGCGTGGCATAAAACAGCTAATCAACCGCTTCTCCTCTGCCCCCACTCCTCAACTTCGTTTAACGTTCGATGAACCTCGACACGATTTGATCCCTTTAATTTTCTCTCGACTCGAATCCCATTTTGTTTACTTGCACGATCAAAGTGTTCCAGAGCTTTCCTCCCTATTCTGTTCAGACTTTTGCCCCGTGTTCGATAAGAAACGAAAGACAATTTGATCTCCTTAGAATTTCCTTAACCGTTGAAGCTGAGAATCGTTACGAAGTTCGAGATCGAAATCCCCCCAAGATGCACTCTGGTCTCATGCTACACTCTGGTACCTCGATGATACGAGCGTTACTCAGACCTCGAAACCGTTTGCGTGGAAATCACGAGACACACATGCATGATTCAATCACGTGAGCATGCGAGCATGCGACACGCATGGTCACCTGCTTCTTTTCATTTAGCTAAGTAGAACAAGTAGCCGTTAAATTGCATTGTCGTTGCGACGATGATCGATGGGGAATGTTCCTGACATGTTCAAGACAGATACCATCTAGAAGAGTGGAAACCCGCGATTATAGCGAGGTTATCCCGCGAGGAATACACAAAGGGTATAGTAGGAAATAATACTTTTCCAGACACCAATAGTCAGGTGGTTCAATTTGTTCACGAGCTATTAGCATATGCAAAGGCAACTGACCCACAACTTCCTCGCAAGTACTCAATCCATTTCCAATTCCTACATATACAGTCCTCAAATGTGTATAACAGGCCCAGGAAATCCACCTCTTTCTTCCTTTTCTCTCTCCTTCATTCACACTCTCTACATTTTGGGACAGCTATGACCTATCCTGACCTCTCAAACAGAGCCTGCTAGGTAATCTTATTGATAAGTCCAATATCAGGGCCAAAAGTATATCGTTTTCCTTCTCTTCTTTTCATCCTTTTTACATTCTCTGACTGCTGTTCTTTATATCAAGCTTTCGACTGATTTCTGAATGTACCAGATTGTAAGACAAGGCCTGCTATATATGGGGGTCCATTAGGCCCAAAAGTAAATCCACTCTCTTCCATTTCTCACCTCTTCCTTCTATCTTCTCCGACTGTCATACGTATATAGAATTTTCAATTGACCTCTCAATGTCCCAGATTGCAAGTCTAGTAGGTAACCTCATCGATGGCCCCATAAGCAGACCCAATAAGAAATCCATTTCCTTCTTTTTCTCTTCTCTTTCTGTTACCTTTTTCGAGTGCTATACCTATAAAGGGCTTTCGACTAATCTCTCCATGTCCTAAGTTACAAGACAAAGCCTGCTAGGTAAGGGTCCATTATCAGGCCCAAAAGTAAATTCGCGCTCTATCCTCCACCCTATCTTTCTTCTACCTTCTCCTACTGCCATACCTATATGGCTGATCCTGAATAAAACAAACAAATGACTTTATTAAATTGATGATATTTTTTTTCAATTATTATCAGATATCTTTCATGTGTTTTTTATTTATAATAAAAAAGATAAATCTGTTTAGTGGTATAGTTTCATAAAAAATATGTACGTATGTCCGTTTCACAAGAATCAACAAGGACAAAAATGTCTACTTTTTTTAAGAATCAGTTATATAGAATATTCAATTATCCTCTCAGAGCCTCAGGGTCTGAAACAGGGCCCACACTAAGTAGCCTTATTAATGGCCACTGTCATACTCAAGAGTACATCCATTTTCTTCCTATTTCCTCCTCTCTACCGTCCCCCCCCCCCGCTCTCTCTCTCTACAGACCGCCACAAATATTGCAATTAAACTCGTGATCCTCCGTGGATGACCTGTCTTGTCACCGAAACGAACATTCTCCATAATCCCGGCATCGTCGTTTCGAAACTGATTCGTAACGTACATGGAACAAATACCGCGAAAACGACGAATCGTCCGGTGATAAGAAAAACGTTGGTGGCAGCAAATAACACGTACGCGATTCAACACTCGACGCCTCATCCGGTACATATTTACTCCTCGAGACACCGCTTTTGTGTCGCAGTGATACAGTCGCGCGATTATTAAGGTGTTCCTCGCCCAACAGGCGAGAAATAATTCACTTCTGGCGGATACGGTCGCATTACACACCTGCGCACTGAACATTCGTAACCATGCCTGGGCGACTGGCTGAAAAATAGGGTGGCGTCTGGAAAGCTTTTTCGAAGACGGAGATCTTTCGAATGGTTACGTATTGGGAACACGTATATCGAACTATGAGCCTACTCAATTTTATTACAAACTTTTAACCTCCTTGATCGTTATGGTCGTTGGCGTGGAGCCACTGCGTCTGGACTGAGCAAAGAGGTGCCGACGAATTAGATGAAATCAGAACAAGAAGGAAATTCTTTAACTCTACGGTGCGCATTCATTCATAAATGGATTACATTGTTAAATTTATTTAGGGTCATTCGTAAGTCACTTCCGTTTTATAACGATTTTCTTCCAAATACATTATTAGATAAGATATCTCAATCAATTATGTAATCTTCATTATTAGCACTAAACTTACCAATGTTTCATTTGTATCTATTCCAACTGTGGTTAGACAAATCACTAACCTGACACTTTTTTCAATTGAACGCAAACATATTTCACATGATACTAAATTCAATGATGCATGTAATAATTGTATATAATTTATATATTGTATATAAGAATTGTATACAAAAGTTTGAAAAGAGTCATTCGACCGGTCGCTGTAGGTTTCGTGATAATTATCACTTGCTCTCCTGTAGCAGGTAAATTAAAAATTGCCACTTGTAGGTTTCCTGAAAGCATTATTATTTGTTACCTGCACCGGAAGTTATTTATGAATCAACCCGATAGTATTATTTCTCATTTACAATTTCAAAGTATAAAGTGCGCACTAGCGTGTACATGTATCAACTATAAACAATCTACGCAACACGAAATTAAAAATTTCTACATTATGCCTTGCACTTTTCCCGTAACATAAAACAAATCGTCCACTGTAGAGTTAAACTTATAGATTTGCTCTCATTTTTTCTGCTGCTTCAAATTTGAACACAATATTTCTTAGCCTATACTTCTACATTTTATCGACCAGTCCAGCTTCTCTCCTCACATAATTATATTTCTAAAATTTAGTTAGTCCTCTCAGGTGATACACAAACATTCGACGAAATCGTACGATTCGTCTTCAAGAAAAATCTGCCCGAACGCCACCTTACTTTTGCATTCCGCGGCCCGAACGTGTCTTTTACGTTAAGGTCTAACCGTAAGTATATCCGCAGATCTGACGAAACGATCGGTTCTCGGGGGCATTTGCAAACAGGTATAATCGAAGTAACACTACCCCGTCGTTGTTTCACGAACGGACCGACGCCATTTAACTCGTTAATTAAGTCGTCCGTTCCGCGGCCGGGGAGTCCCCCGGTTAAAGTGTAAATAGTTCGACTCTGGCAAATAAAGCAAAATCGGGACCGCTGGCTCCACGATCCCTGACGCCCGACAAGACCCTCTGAGAACCACGAGGGATTTCGCACGAAAGGTGTCCTCGTGTCGACACCGAGGAGAGAAATTCCGTCGACTCTGTAAGTTTCTCGGGTGGTCCGTATCCGAAGGACAAAAGTGCCAGAAAGAAGCGCGCGACGCTTCCGGTATCGCGCCGGACCTCGCGTTCCTTGAGGATTCGTTCGAATCTCCTCGGGTATTGCAAGTCCTCGACGGGATTCACCTGTCGAGGGTTTTTTTTTTCTTCACTTGCGTAGTTTGCAACTGTCAACTGTCTAGTAAGTTTGCAGCGCCCTTGTATAATGCCTCTATTTAGTTCCTATGTTGCAGAGTTGGAGTAATTCGGCTAACCGTGTCTGTTGTCCGTTCTTTTTATAACGATTTTGCGTGACTACGGTCGCGAGCGAGTGAACAAGAAAAATTGGGAGAGAGCGCGGAGAGGGTTGGAGTGAGAGTGAGAAGGATGGGGAGAGAGAGAGATTGATTGCTTACCTTAGTCGGTAGTATTTAGCGTAGTGTGCGTAGCTTGTGTAACTAATTTGTGTTTAATGTAGCAAGTAACACCACATTACTTCTTCCCCTGTGTGTCGGTTCGAATAATTAATAACTAATAACCACTACTCCTGGCTTTGAGGCTCTCGCAACTTTATCCACCGGTGATCGATGCAAGCCTGCGATTGTCGCGTAAGTATCAAACAGCCCCTCAAACAAGTATGTAGCTTTTATCATCGATTCGTCCTTTGTGACCACGTCGTGTGTTACACGCCGCCGGTTCACTCGTGTTTTAACGATATCTTTTTATTTTTTTCTCAATGTTTTTTTAATCCTTCTCTAATTCGTTCTTTTCTTATCTTCTGTCTCCTGATCGTTGCACGACGCAAATTTGCATCAAATAACGAAACCGATTCTTTTGTTGTTTTTTTTCTTTATTAGTTGCGATTAACGTTGAAGGTCCTCTCAACGTTGACGAGTCGATTTCACTATTTGTTTAAAGTATTTTTGTAACTTATTCGAAAAGGTATCGCAAGGTACGGGTGCAAAAAAAAAAGATACAGCGATTCCTGTCTAACAAGTAATTATTCCTACTATTTTTTGAAACTAGTGTCTTTTCATTACTCGTTATTCGAGGGACGAGGTGCAAAGAAGAGGGTCGAAAAGAGTGGTTAAGTAATGTAAATAAAATTGACCATTTTCGACTTTCTTCGACTTTAGGATGGTAGACTTATTAGTTAACACGTTGACCACTACACATGTATAAATAACTGGACTTTTCTCAAAGAAGCTAAATAAATTAATTCTGGAGATATTGTGTCAAGGAAAATAAACATTAGGATATCTTATAGTTATTTTCTGAATGTTTATATACCTTATGTAAATCTATTATTGATATGTGCAGCAATGTGCATATTGCTAATAAATGTGTAGAGAGTATGAACGTGTAAATAAAAAAAATAAGTATTATGATATATATTAGATTAGTAATAGTTAGATAGTTTGCAATTGTATGGAAATAAAATTTCGCCCTCTTTTCAAGAGTATTAGTCTGTCAGTCAACGTGTTAAATCGTGATTAAAATTCACCGACCTCCCTCTCTAAGTGGCATGGCTCGGAGCTAGTATTATAATATTTAGACAGGACTCACTGTGTCTTTAATTAATCGAACGAAGAACATATTTTAAATTGTATTAATTGTAGAATATTCTCAAACATAGTGCACTTATATACAACGTTACAAACATATATCGACATTCGCATGATAGTCGTGCGGAAAGAATATCAGAGGACAATAAACTAGATTTATGAGTAAAGGGAATTGAAATTCATTAAGAGTATAATAAACTAAGATTGCAATGTTTAGATTGAAGATGTATGTGGTGTTGAAGAAAATCTTTAGAGACTTTGAAAACGTATAATACTTTTATTATACTGAGCTCATTACACGGAGTAAAAAATATTGATTAAAATAAAGATCGAAACACCAGTATTACCGGTGTTTGTTAATGACACTTTCCATTCTTCAGCAGTAAGAATGATGTTATATCACGAAATGAATAAATATAATTTAGAGTTGTGTTTAAGTAATAACAGACATTTTCATTGCTTTGGCAAGAAACATGTGTTGTTTCCAGTTAAATGTTTCATTATAAATATGTATACGAACAAATTTTACGCATGTATATATTTAGAATGAAAATTTTATTTGAAAACATCAAACCATTCAAATTCATCTTTAATATATAATGTTATACGTTGATGATATATAACATGTTTAAAAAAAAAAAACGTTTACAATTAATAAAGTCTAACACTTTTGAAGTTAAAAATGCTACAAAATAACAATAACTCGATGGATTATTGAATATTTCTATGTTTCACAATATAGTTTAAGCAAATATCGAGGACATCACTACATGGAAAACTTGTTTGGCAGTCAACCGAAAGCAACCAAAACTGTATACGAATAATTTCAGTATTTCAAGTTTGATCAAAAATTCATTTAGGTATCAGCAGATCCATCGTGGACGGTTGTCAGTTCAGCGAGTACTATACACCCTCAAAGTCTGTAAATAATATTTCTTGAACACCCTGTGATCAGCAAATTACGCGCGTTGAAAGAGAAGGAGAAAGGGAAATTCTGATAGCTTCCAATTTCTACTAAATTTGATCCCACTAACAAGCGCTCCCGTTGTCGTCAAATTGCATGTGACATTAGTAGTACTTTTTTTTCGTGTTGTCGATTAAGTGTTCATTATTGTGTATAGATTTCGTATTGTAATCGTAGCGTAGCCGTTATCGAGCGATTTTGGCAGAGATTCTCGAATTTCCGATGGATTGCAGACAACATTTACGAATGAAATCTCGAAAGCGCTGCTGACAGCAGAACGTGACATAGATGGTATAAAGGGTTGCCAAAATCGCTCGGAGTATAAAGATGTAGTATCCGATGAGACCAATCCCCTCCTTGTGTCCTTCCCTCCTATGGAAAAAGAGAAAACAGATTAACGCTTCGTCGTGAGAGGAAAAAAAAATTGTTTCAAAACGATTCAAGGAATATGGAGGACCTGGTTGGATCTGACCTTACAGTGTTACGTTATAGGGTTTCAAGGGTGAAAGCGGTGTGGCATTGATGAGAGGCCCACCCGGTCTACCGGGTCCGAAGGGTGAACCCGGTGAACGGGGTTACCGAGGCGATAAAGGCACCACGGGAGACACGGGCTCACCAGGTAGATTTTCACGAGCCATTCATCTGCGAAATTCGAGAAAAAGGACGACGATGAACGATCTTCTCCCTCCTCGCTACTAATGAAAAGAAAAGAAAAAACCGATCGCATTCTGCGATGTCTTTCCTAACCTGATACATTCATTTTCTACGAAGATAAGAATATTCCTACGTTTATAGAAGCTATCGCAATTCCATTCAAATTGAAGACACTTTCTTGGTTGCCAATAGGACTGGATGTGCATGAATGGTTTTATCGACTGTGTGTCAGAGATGGGCATAGTATAGTTAGAATTATTTAAACAAGAAATTGGGTAGAGAGACTTTATCGTTATTCCGCATTTGAAGGGACAACAATCGGGGTTCGAATAAGTTAGGTATTTATTCGACGATGATGGATGAAAATTTTTATTGAATTATTGGTAAACGTATTCGACGAATGAAGATTCTCGTGAGTATCATTATAGGAGGTTTATTTGAAGCCTTCGGTTGACAGAGAGTTTCTTGTCGTAAAAAATTGGATCGAGTAGGTTCACTAAGAATACATATTGCTTTCTACTAAAACTTCAAATATATATCTTTATTCGTTATTCGTCGAATAAGTTTATTTCAAATAGATATTTCTATCCTTTATACGACGACTAAACTCGAGGAGATATTTTTATTCGTTATTCATCGAATAAGTTCATTTCAAATAAATATATCAACCCTTCATTCGACGACTAAACTCGAATATCTTTATTCGTTATTCGTCGAATAAGTTTATTCCAAATAAACGTGCTTACTTGTAATTCATCAAATGAAAATAAACCGACTTATATGTCTATACAAAATTGACATCTGCTATTTTTCGTATAAAAATACTCCGTAGTGTTTTTATTCGACGAATAAAATATTACAGTTTTTCATCTCTCACTCAGCACTCGAAAGTTTTATTCACAATCTTGCCCGTCTCTGCTGTATATCCAATATTCGAGACATCTCAGATTTTATCTCGAAAAAAAAGCAATACAAACGAAAAATTGTTCGGTGTCTCAGGTATGTTGATTTCCTTGAATTCATCGTCGTACTCTCATTAACGATGGGAGTGCAGAGCTTCCAAAACCGTTTCGGATGAACGAGTCGAAGCGTGAATGAAACATTGCGAAGAAGAAGGGCGGGTGGGGAGCTCCACAGGGTAGTAAGGAAGGAAGGAAAGATACTTTAGTAACAATCGGGGTCTTCTGTCCGCGCTGAACTATTGATTGCGCGGAAGAGTCGAGCTTTTACAATTTATTTCTACTAGTAGAAATTCGCACTTTCAGGACCGAAAGGAGAACAAGGACACCCCGGTACGCCTGGTCTCCAAGGAAAGGATGGAGAAGTTGGTATCCAAGGTCCCCCAGGATTGCCAGTAAGTAAACTGTGTGCGTAAACTACGCTACGGGAAATCCTATTTATTCTATGTCAATTATCGTTTACATATTGCGTCGTATTAGTAAATTCAACGGTTTAGTCATACTCGTAATGGAGACTACTCTGCGAAGTTTCGAAATTCGGGAGAAGAGATATTCCATTTGGATTAGAAATAAACTGGTGATAAATATTAAATGTAGAAATTAATTCTCTGATTTTCTGTTCAATCATTTAGTATTTATCTATTATTTATATTAGTTTTTTTTTGTAACTCTGATTTAAGTAAATATATTTATTCCGTATTTTGTTACGTTAAAGTAACAAAGTTCTCGATCTGATAACCTAAGTGTCAATCTGCTGACTATAACAGTTTATCTATGTATACCAAGTTCAGCAACCATAAAATTTTGCTTATTATTTTTCTTCTAACATATTGCAAGTATAACAAGTAGTTATAATAATTGCAAAAGAATAACAGTAAGTAAAATATTACACTGCATGTAAAAAGAAAGTTTCGTATGCACCGATCTAACCATTTATTTAATTTTTAGAATTTGTTAAGTCATTCCATAAGTAAAGTCGTTTTCCGATGCTACCTTTCGGCGAAAGAAATGAAAACTTATGTTTACTTTAATCATGAACGTATTAACAATATCCTTTCTACAGCCTTTTTCCGTCTTTTAGTTATCGTCTTAATTCCATCTTTTCAAAATGTTCGAGGTTTTAATTTAAAAGACTCAGCTAGTCCTGATTTGATGCGTTCAATATTATTGAATTATTGTCTGGTTAAAAAATGTTGCATAGATCAAAATAGATGATAATTACTTATTTAGTGAAAGGTCCAAAATGTATGGTGGATATGATAAAAGAGTCCACTAATATTTTTTTTTATTGTTATCCTTATTATGTACGATCTAAAAAAAAAAAAAATGTCTTTTTGCAGTAACGTAAAAGACATTACTTATGGGTTGACCTAATATAACACAATAGCAAATATTACAACGTGACAACCATTAAATTCGATTTGGTTTAAGGTTATCAGAGCAATTTTAGCTTTCAGAGATGCTAAATCCGTTACATATTACGTAAATTGCTTGCCACAATTTTGTTCAGGGTATATCTGGGCCTAAAGGTGACAAAGGTGAATACGGTGATATCGGACCGCCGGGACTTATGGGCCCTCCAGGTCTACCTGGTCCTCCGGTATGTAAATTGCTCGAAACACACTCTCGAGTCTCTTTTTATTACGCGGTGGACTCCATGAAAAACCGAATAATAAAGAAATCGAAGAAGCAAGACCTCAATTTACGTCGAAGAATTATGGTTACGTTTCATCATTTTCACGATGAAGACAGTGATTCTTACACCGCATTAAATAGAGACTCGACTGTGACTTGTTGCACCATTGCTAGGTGGACACGACTCAATGAAATGTATAACGTCACGGATGTTCTCGGTAAACAGGGCTACCCAGGTTCGAAAGGTGAAAAGGGAGAGAAAGGCGAATCGGTGAGTCGATTTTTCAGCAATGCATTGCTTTCGTCGGATAGGATAACGAATACCGTCATTTCGAATCCCTTCCCCTATTATATTTGCATTCAACAGCGAAGGAAAGACATAGTCGATTGTTAGACGGGAACTTCAGCTGTTGAACGCAAGGGTTGTTGAATCCATCAATTTTCTCCCGTCCAAGTAATTCGGGGTCCTCGGTTTCAATGCGCCGTTAAGTATATATTGTGTTTCACTCGATCGCTTTGGAATCGAGGATCGAACGGGACACCCCATTTTATAACGAGACAAATTCAACGATTTGACGATAATAATCTATTTCTTTTCATGACACGACATCGGACTCCCGCCGACAGAAATACAAAAAGCTCAGACGAAGGCAGGTACGTGTGTTTCATCTTCGTTTCTTTGTAACGTGATCTCGTTATCGGGAACACATCTAGCCCGTGGTCCGGAGATGGTGAGAAAAGATTTATCATTTGAAATGCACGTTTTGTTACAGGGTGACGGCACGTTCGAGGTGAATGCCGGCGAAATGGTGAGTAGAAGAGCCCATTTCGAATTGTCCGTTTCGCGATTCGTTCATCGGAAAAGCGCGGTTTCGATCGAATTCCGCGATTGTTCGACGTTTATGTATTTAATTGTTCGCAGATAATGGGGCCACCGGGACCACCCGGTCCAGCTGGCACTCCTGGACTTCAGGGTCCACCTGGCATCAAGGGCGATCGAGGACACGATGGCGCTAAAGGCGATCCTGTCAGTAATCACCGTTTACTATTAACCTTATTTTAATAATGAAACATGCCTTACTGTAATACGTGTTCTTACTGCAAATAGTTACACTGCCGGTCATCGATTTCAATACACATGATTTTTTCAAAGAGGGACGCAAGTAGAAAGCCACTTTGCAGATATTCATATTTATTGAAGTGGAGTAATCATATTTGAATTCGTTGTCAAGATTTTCAAAAAATTGGATGGATAATTTACTTAAATTTGACATACTTAAATTTTTCAACTTTGACTGCCTTCCATTTCTCTTGCAGTACATCCCTCAGATGATTTTTATTCATAATTTACTATTCATAATTATTCATAAAAGTGTTTTTTTCAAATACAGGGTGCGGCGTCTAAATCCGGACAAATTCCAATTTAAATTGTTTGCCATATGATCTTACACGGATCGCCTTTTTTTCTTGAAAGTCACGTGTTCCTAGTTAATAATTATAACATCAAATGGCCGACCTGGTGCGAACAAATTCAGAATTAAACCGGAGAGTCACTAGTGTCGAAAGTCTTTGCGTTCTCCGTTCGACTGTTGAGATTATTCGGCTCTTCGGGTACTCTAAATCGGCTGTTTATGATATGGATAATGCTTCCAAATAATCTGAGGATTCATATAAGACTGAGATTCATTCAAAGGAACGCGTTACACAGACTTCAGCAGTCGTAGAAAGAGCTCAGGTGGTAATTTCCGAGAACTTAGGGCAATCGTTGCGGAAAATCTCATCCGAGTTGGGTATTAACGAACGAATAGTACATCAGATTGTAGAGAAGAGACTATGTTATAAGTCCTTCCTAATAAAAATACAACACGAGTCATTTAGTCCAAAACTAGTTGTCTGCACATGTTTTGGTCCAAGAAGTTTTGGCTCCTCAATAACTTATTTACTAAAAGTATTGAGATTAATGGCTGGTAGTGTATAAACTGTATTGCGTACATCAGAGCTGGACACCGCGACTGTCTCAGAGCACGCTAAGCGCGCAAACTAGTGGCGTTAGTTCTCGCGCTCGCCGTGTGCTGAAACGATTGCGATGCTCCATCATAAAGTACGCATTAGCTGCAATACGATAGAAATTATCGAAATAATTAAAAATACTGCGTAAGACGGATTTATTTAAATTTACGTTGTACGTCTTATAGAGTTTATTAAGCGCAGACTTTAACCGTGTAATCTTGAGAAAGGTAACGAAATTACCGTGTTACAAGGCCCAATAAGACGCATTTTTAAGTGTGACTTCTTCTTTCACGTTGCAGGGAGAGAAGGGTGCCAAAGGAGATCCGGGTCCAATGGGACTGCCCGTACGTATTTTCCTCCACAGATTAGGTTTGTCGGTTAGGTAGGTTACCAAGCGCGGTGAAGTGCCAGGGAATAAAATCTAACAGAATACAAGCGAAACGATAATTCAGCCATTGATAAATTCACTTGTTTCTTATTTAACATTAACACATTGAAAGAGACACTGTCTGAAACATGCTCGTACGCGTACTTTACTTCCCAGCGAGGATAATAACAACTATACTTTGTTGTCAGAACAACAAGTACATAGCGAGAAAATGGAGAAGGTACATATAAATAAAAGGTACACGCCTACATAGCTGCACAATACATAACTCATCGATATTATGAATACAAAGAAAGAGAAACGTTTTTAAGTGAATGAAAACTTTGTTAGATCATCCCATACGCGATGCGAATAAATATGTTTCTTTAGATGATCGATAAAGTACACAAGATGTACTCCTAAATAATGTTTATAAATTGCGTATTTGCAATAGTAATACCATATTATTATTTTTTAGCGAATAATGTTAAAAAAGACTTTATTACTTGGCAGTTTCAAAAACATCGAAATAAACTAATGATTGATATAGTTTATATCAGCGTTTTCCAAAGTGCCAAGTGATAAGAACTCTTTTAACATTGTTCATGACAAGAAATATACTGTTTGTACATGGTTTTAAATGAATTTCAAAGAGATTAAATTTAATAAATTAATTTTTCTTTCATACATTTATGCAGCGATTTAGCGAACAACATAGTAAAAAAATATTAAACGTTCTCGTAAACATTTTCTTATTATAACAATATTAAACTTCTACAACACCTTTTCCTGTTTATGGAACAATTTTGAGTTTATAGATGCGTTAAACACCTCATTCTAATTTTCGTAGTAGACGCTGCTGCAACTTTTCACCCAACAAGTATTATTCAACATTTTATTGAATATTTACATTTTTTTCTAATTTTCTTCAACTCAGAACACGCCTGGACCACTACATTTCATTAATGCTAGTAAACACCAATTTCTATTAACGTGTGTGCGTGTGCATACGCGACTATTTACAAATAGGGCGCCTCTGGCATTCATTTATAGATTTAGGAGCAAAATTAACAGTCCTCTAGTTAAAACATTAAGTTATCGTATAACGAGCCCCACAAAAAAAGCTGTCGAGAAACACCAGCACTGTCAAGTGATGATACGACGTAACACAAGTCTCGCTCTACTGCGCGAGGTATATGCGCAATAAACATTCACCACCCATTGCTGTACTTACAGTCCAAATTAAATGCATATGTAAATGCACACTCGTCCCTGTGATCTATATCGTATAGCTATCGACGTCGAAGGTCTTCTGCGCATCTACCTTGCGCAGATACGGCACTCGTGTTACACTGTATCGTCGCTTGGCGAAGCTAGCAATTCACAGCTGTATTTGCATAGCTCCATTGTACATTTTTCGATTTTGACTCATCAAATTTTAATATAATATTGAAGTAGAAAGCTAGCGTTATTATTCATACTAACAATAAGTGGGCCAGTAATCAAATGGATCATCTTTAGGAAAGCCGCATTGCTTATGGGATGTCCTAATAAACTCATCTGCACTCGTTCATCCCACTATATGTTCTCGTGGTGGCATTGTAGTCGAATCACTGATTCGAGATATTTGTTTATTTACAGGGCCCCATGGGACTTAGAGGAGAATCCGGAAAACCCGGGGATTCCGGGAAACCTGGTGTCATGGTAAGAACGCGGACCTCTCGCTCCTAACGTCATCGTTATTTGGCCTCGCTGCTGAATCATTGATAGCCATTCACTAACGACCAGTGTAATCAATTGTCGCTTTCTCGACATGGCGTCGTACTTCTTCGTATCCACAGCGAGATCCTTGAAATTGCCTCTCGAATATGTTCTATCGTATCGTTTACTGTATGTAAACGGATAGTATAAACACGTATAACGAAAAGATCATTTGAAAAAAAAAAAACGACACGAGAGACAACGTGCGAGCAATGCAAACAAAAAAGAAAGGAAAAGAAAATACCTCGAAGGAATATATCAGTTCGTGTCGATAACCTGTCCAAAAGTTCTCAACGTTTCCATACGTGACAACGTTCAGTCATATCGTTAGCGTTTATTCGATAAGATGTAATTGCGAGAATGAGTGCTAGTTAATTCGAGCTATCAATTTCGGACCGCGGACCCTCCTGATTCGATAGCTTCATCGTTGCTTGTTTATCGATCAATGGGGCTACTAACGATAATTCCAACGATGAAAGACGATGAAGAGACAAAAATAATGACCGTCCGTTGCGAAAATTAGACATCGTTGTGATATCATTCTCGCACTCGAATACCTGGTACTAAAAGGACAGTTTTTACCGTAGAAGAAGTTATTAAATTCGTTCGTTAACTTGAACGAAACATACGAAAGGAAAAAAAAAAGAGAAACGAACAAATCCGCGTCTTACATGTGTATTGGTTTTAGATAGTTAAGACGACTGTACTTATATTAATAGTTGGTACGTTCCGCGTGGCAGAGTATCGCTAATTGAGAAAGAGTAATTGTTTAATTTCGACACACGTGGGTCTTTTTTTGTGTTAATGTGTGACAAGGATGAAGTTTCGGGAGAAACAAGTGTCTTCCATAAATCTTAATGTGTACGAGTAAACCGTTCGATGCTTTTTTCAATATCGAATTTTGCACATACGCATTACAATCGGTGTTGTATACTTATTTATCCAACATAATATTTAGCGGATGATCGCACTGCCATCCGTCCTGTTAACATGTGCTATATGTCTGCCTGTGTAACTGTATATCTATATACACTGAGAAAAGAATGTTAGTCGAAGAATCGGGACGTCGATGTAGCATTGTAAATTGCAGAGAGCAAATTTCTCCTTAAAACGTTTCTCGGATAAGCTAGGGGATAGTCACAGTTTTGGGTGAGTGTCTAGATAGAAATATCCATCGACGAGGTGAAGCAGTTTCGATTTGGGGATTGAAACTCTTCCACAATGGCGGTGGTGGGCATAGATATTGGAACAATGATATATTATTAGCACAATGAAACCATGCAAAAGATGTTGTGAATCAGTAGCGTCGCCAAGCGACGATATGGTATAACACAAGTACCGTAGTTGTGCAAGATAGATACGCAGAAAAATTTGCTACACGATATAGATGCACTTGGATAGTGAATGTCTTCTGCGCATCTATCTTACGCAGTTGCGAGAATTTTATTAGATGTACACCACTCCTTCAAAATACGATCTGTCGAATACATTGGAATACATTGCAAATGCGATAATTGCACTAAACATTTTCAGTGTAATTAATTATATATTTCAAAACGTAAATCAAACCTATTCAGTGAAAGAGACTATTACTGCTCATCTGAAAAAGATCATTAGCCACTGCTGTGTATATACATCTACTCGTTTTATTCTTCCCTAATCTTCGCTGAAGCATCGCTAAGGTACGATAAAATATGAAGGTGTACATATACAGTAGTGGTTTGCATTGCTTTCAAAATAACACTGTGTTTATTTTTATCCTCACACGAGCAGTAAGCAGTGGTAACTATCCGTGTTACTGAGCACTAAAGGTTTGATTTATGTTAAAGAAAACATAATTTATTCTAAGCTATAATTTATTCTAGCTATCAGATTTGCAAGAAGTGGTGCAATTTCTATGGCCACTACTGTAACTGTGTCAAACTGTAATATAAATGTTCTTTGGTTAAACGAAACCGTAATTTGGAATAACTCATAGAGATAACTGAAACAAGCGAACGTTCCTACAGACTTTATTCACAATTCTAATGTGTTCACTTTTCTCTGTTCTCTCTAACAGTTACTCCGAATGGTGGTTGTATATAACTGGTTCAAAAACCAGAACAATATCATTAACTATTTCCAATCCCTGGTTCTGCTTGCTACTTATAGAAGTTTTCAAGATACCTGTTAAGGTATCGCAAATTGTTACGCAGAGCGTAGTTGTTACTTAATTATAAACTTAATAACATTTACAGTTCACGCAGGTACATTTTTTCTCAGTGTATGTCACTAGTTTCGTTCATCCCTTGATGTACTTTTGATCATGTACCTCGTCAACCGCATCTATCGTTCCCATTTGTTACTCGGTTCACTCATCGTTTAAGGTTTCTTCCTTCGATGCCCATTTTCACTATTCCTTCCGTCGATTACGACTCACTGCTTCGTACTTAAAGACAACTCACTTATAGCATTCCTCACACGTAGTGATAATTGAACCGTTTTACCATGATTCTTCTTTCGTTCGTTTCACTCCGATATTTGATTTCACACAATGTTCAACATGCACGTTATGTGGACGTTCGAAAGGTTCCCTGCGAAGTAAGACATGTAAAGAAGAGTAGCCACAAAAGATTTGCATCGACGAAGTTACAAGAAATCGATCGTTAACTTCGTGGAATTGTCGATTATGCGATCGAGGTGTAATCCTTCGCCGACCTGGTGATTCTTAAGTCTCGATGTACTTCACTTAACAAGGCAGTGAAATTCGGGCAAGTTTACTGTTTAATTGAAACGTGTACGTATCACGGTAACGAGGTCGAGGGAAAAGAACTTCTGAATCCTTACTGGTTGGAGATTATTTCAGAATTATAGGTGCAAACTGTATAGGAAGCCTGGACACGATAACTGTTTCAGTGCACGGCGAGCAGGCGAACTAATGGTGGCACTGGAACACTGCAATACGGCTGCGTCCTTCTATGACGCCACTAGTCTCGGTGCTCAGACATGTACTTGCTGGACAGGTTGGTAGAACTCTTTGAAGGACATGAAATAAAATATTATAATTAACATACGTGCGGGAATTAACTTGAAAAGTATTCTTGAGTTTGTAAGTAATTATCTATATGATAAGAATTGATACTTTTGTTTAATGAAAGGATTTTTTAAGAAATTGGACGGTTCAAGCATTTTAGTGTTTTAGACAATTTTCGATACTGTATTTAGAATCATCCCAAAAATATGTAAATATAATGAGATCTAAAATTAGAAATGTGAAATGTAATGTCTCTTAGGTAGTGAGAAAAGAAGGGCACCCATAAATTATTATTATTATTAAAGTAATAATAAGTAGTTTAATCCCTTTAATTTTAATAAAATTTTCAAGTAAGTAGGCGAGCCCGATTTTATCATTTAAAAGCGTTACTGCTATACACTTGTCTATTTGTACTGAATAGAATTCAACGTTTAAAAATTGGTTACTTCGTAGACACATCTCTGCTGAAAAGCAATAATGAAATATCTTACAATGAGTTGATGAACAATAATTATTTCAAGATATTTTATTAACGTCTAGAATGAAAGTTCCGTGACTCGCTTATAACACAATGCGATACTTGTTTGTCTAGCTTCTTTTTAAAGTTTTTCATCATTACATTTTTAGGAATAAATGTTATAATACAAAAAACGTATACCTTTTAATAATATATTATATATGTAATTTATATTTCCGTTGAAATCATCACTTTTGTGTAATATTATTATAGTATACATTGTGCGAGACTACAACAAAAATATTCATATTTTAATTAGTCAGATTATTGCTTTCCAGCAGCGATTTGTTCGTTAACACTATTTTGTGTTTCTCAACGAGTTCTACCGAGTTTAAACAGTCCCTCGCCTATAATTTTAGAACATACCAACCATACACGGACATTTCTTTAAAATCAGTGCCATTATTTCTCATCGAAGATACTCCATCCGATTGTATCAACGTTCGCAAGTATTATCAGAGGAGTACTTTGAACTTGCCTGTTTTGCGACTAGAATTTAAGCTATTTATTTCATCGACTTATCCCGAGCTTCTCGTTTCAAGTAATTTTCGTTATCGCGCTTCGCTAAATATTGTAACGTGTATACTCTTATATTGTAGATTCTTGAATAGTTGAGGTTCCCTACGTCACAATTAACGTTCTTTTGCAAGGAAAAAGAGCATGCACGAACTTTTTTCACGCGTTCATTTCTCCATTAGGAAAAGTCAACGAAACGGGGCAAGAAATTCCGAAAAAATAGCATACGCTACTCTACGTTAAAACTATAAGCTTAATATTTATTGAACAAAGAGTGCTACATACTTTCGGTTAAATTACCGTTCTTAAACCATGTTATCTACTGTTTATATTAGAGATGTTTATCGCGAGGTTTCCTTTTCTACTCGATACTGCCTGAATTCGAGTTATCTCGGGGTGAAAATTGTTTATTAAACGCTGGACTAACAAGTATCTCGGCGCGATATTACAGCCACTGACAAAAAGTTTTCGATCGAGCACACTGATAGGAAATTTAATGAATACATTGATGTTTTAAAGTGGTAAAATGTTGGGTTTATTTAAATTGATGAATGAAGGGAGCTCGATATAAAATTTAAAATTCGTTCCTCGCGAGATTAAGAACAATTATTCTGAATTTTATATCGTTAGAGTGTCTATAGCTGATGTGATGGTATATTGCAAACGTTTGACTTCCTTATTCACTGAATTAAATGTTACCAATTGATCTCCCAGAAGTGATTAAAAACGCTTGTTTAAATTTGATTTATCGTTTCAAAATATCGTTATTATTTTATTCTATTATTTTAAATGACAAACAACTGCGCTGTTTATACTCATGAAGCTAATTATATCACTCACGAGTGGAAACTACTTTCCTGGATTTCTACCTATTGAAAACTTTTTTTTATATAACATTCAGTTTCTGCTTTTTGTTATAATAAGTGAAAATCCGTGTTGTTTTATTGTCGTACACTTTATATCAAGCTCCCATTAGTTCCCTATCAACTCCAATTATATATAACAACATTTTACTATCCCAAAGCATGAGTGCTTTCAGGAAATTTCCTGTTAATCCGTTCTCGCGAAAATTTTTTCCCAGGTGTTATACAATCTACTCTGACTTGAAAATTCGTTCCAAAACATTTAACGATTATTCGTTCCAGCACTCGACAAAACTCTCAATGGCGCAAAGAAGCTTAAACGCTTTGGCGTTCGCCGACAAACGATACTTTTAGTTTAATATTTTTATCTCTATCTTTTTTTTTTCTTTTTAAATCAAGTACACGTTGCTTGTAGAGAGTTTCCATGCGTAACAACGGAAACGTCGCTGGAAAACCGAGCGGAGCGCATACAAAAATTCGGAAGCGGTTGTCTGCGGGGCGTTTGTCCTGAGGAGGAAAACGCAGATACGAAAATGCTTTAATACACCTATAAGCGAAAGATCGATTTAGGCACGAGATGTACAGTCAGTCCTATAAGTATTCGTGCCCTCTATGTCTATTGAAGAAATTTGTCTAAATTAAATGACAGGTTTGATGTTTCTAACTAAACGCTTCATTATAAATATGTATATGAATATACTTTACACATGTGTTAGGTGTAGACAATAATTCTGTGCCTTTTTATTCAATCATTTATAACTCTAGCTTAAACAGATATACAGTCAGTCCTTTAAGCATTCGTACTATCTGTGTCTATCAAAGAAATTTGTCTAAATTAAATGATAGATTTAAGTTTCCAAATAATTGAAACCATCATTTAATTTGGACAAATTTGTTCAATAGACATAGGGGGTATGAATACTTATGGGACTAACTGTACTTACTCGTTATTTTGGTACATTAAGTATCAACCTTTTACGTCCACAACCGGAGGGTCATTGCAATGCATCTGTACGAAGTTTAATAGCCACGAAATTTTGCTTATTATTGTACTCTTATGATTTTTCTAATTACTAGATTACGAATTTTTTATGCATTTATAGGAAATTTGAATGTGCAAAAATCTATAAAATTCACACGCTATGCAATGACGTAAACAATTATTAAAAGTAAAGTTCATACTATAATATTTGCTAAATAAAATAAAGTCCTACTTAGATTCTATTTTTGTCGGTACGTTTGCAAAAATTTTATTTTACAAAAAAATAAACAAAATAAATAAACAACAATAAGCAAAATTGTCGACTAATGAATTTCGAAAATATTCAAGATATATTCTAACGACCATCAGGTTGAGGCTGATGTTATCTACCTGTACATAAATTCATTCTAGAGATGGATTTACAGAGATTAAGTTGAGGACTTAGTTGAGGAAGATTAATACTTTAATCTACCAAACTGACAAGTAGGTATTTCTACTTAGAGTTATAAATAATTAAAGGTAAAGCCACAAAATTAATTTCGACACCTAATATATATTTATAACGAACAAATTTATTTGCAAACGTCAAACCTATCATTTAATTTAGACAAATTTCTTCGATATCCATAAAGGGTACGAATACTTATGGGACTGGTTGTATATATACATATATAAATATACCCAGAAACGAAACACGATTTATTGCTCGCAGTGGCAGATACGTTTAATGATCCCACCGAATACATTCGACTGTTTGCGAAATCGCGAGCGAACGACTTACAACCCCCCCCCCCCCCTCATACAGCCCCGTCCCCTTGTTTGCGACCCCCTAGTCACATGCAACGCGCAGTGTCGTTCGCTTCCGGCATGATCGGGTGCGATGAATTACGGAAATTGTACAGTGTAGAATAATACCGACACCGTAAAGAAAGATAAACGAAAAAAAAAGAAACGAAAATGAAAAAAAAAACAGAAAAGGAAACGACGTTAACGACGTGTTTTATTTGCCTCGGATAAGAAGCGCGATAGGCCCCCCCTGCCCCTCCCTGTTTATACCCTACTCTCTAAGAACATAGGCTATAAAATTGCGAATAGTTTTAACAGGATAACGGGACGAGCGAAAGCGTGGAGCTCACGGTGTCATTAAAAGCTCACTAATGGTAAAGTTAATGCGAGTAAGGCGTACAGTACATAAATATATATATATATATATATATATGTATATGTATATGTATATATTTATTTATTTGCGAACACCCATAAATGGAAGGTTATCTATACACGTGCATATATACGTACGTTGACGAAGAAAATCTGGAGCCGTGTAATATCTAAAACGAAATATAAAAAAGGTCGATACATATGCGCGCGTGTAATTTTCCGTATACGTATGTATTTTGCATATGTATACATACACATAATATGGGTGAGTCTGTATGCCCGTGGCGTGTGTGTGTGCGCGTGTGTGTCTGTTGTGTGTACACATATATATGCATGCATGACATAAACGTGCATAAAAGGACAAAAAAAGAAAACAAGATGGTGTTACGGGGAAGGGCATATGATTTATTTCGTGCGTGCGTATGTGTGTATTGATTGTAAAGCGGCGACGCCTTGGTAATTGATAAGTGAACAAATTTGCAGAGAAGAATACGACGACGTAACTGCGTATATGAATAGTTTGACTCTAACGATTTTTTGTTTTACATTGTCCCAATTAATAAACAGAATGTGCATGTGCCTGTTGGTCCTTTGCTTCTATACGATGCCCTATTCGAACAATTTTTTAACGCTTCACATACACACTCACACATCTCGTAGTGGACATATATATATATATATCTATATATATATTATTACCGCTTTGCATTTTGTCTCAGGCTGCGATCCGACGATCATTGTTTTAATCACTATTTGTAATAACACACCCCCCACCGCCCCCTTACCGCCCCCGTTACACTTTCTTACTTCTCTTTCTTCGTTCTGTCCATGTGTTATGCACCCCTGATATCGCGGCGATTATCGATTTGTTAACACGACCCGTGAATGAGGAATTAACACGTGTTAATTTGCTGCAACCACGACGGTAACGTAATTGTTGGATCGTTACGCCATCGTCTTTACTTTGTGTTTTTTTTTTTCTTGGATTAAATAGAGCTCTTTTGTCTTCTCCTTTGCCTAACGCCCATTGGTTGTATTCTTGCCTCGCTCGCGAACCAACTGCGTGCGACGACATCCCGTTGCAATGGAGCCTTTGATTTGTTTTATTTTCATTTTTCATCGCGCAGCTAAGAAATTACAAAAGGATCTCTACCTGGAAAGATTTTAAAAGCACAGGAGTATCTCTTGTCTTTTCTTCTGATAGTCGCCAATCCTGCGTGCACGCCATCGAGATTGAACATATGAGACGTAAGATACGTGTGGGACCTGTCTAAGAGGCGCGCGGTTATCTTCAGTGCTGATTGAAATTGCTCGTCCTGGTAGTAAAAGATTGCAGGGAAATCAAGAATTGTTACGTTTTGGAGCCATTGGCGTCTAAAAGACACGGCTTGGATCCGACCTGGCGCCTCTTAGACAGAGGGTTTGCTGTATTGTCCAAAGCGTAGAGTTACTGTTGCAAGACGAGAGATCGTTGCTTTTAAGATCAAAGGTAACAATCCTTCTCGCGTTGAATTCGTTGCGAGTTTTTCAACAAAATTCTCCACAAACCATTGCCTCGATAGAGGGAATCATAGTAGAACCATTTTTCTAAGACATTTATTTTATTCCGCATACATGATACAATTATTTTGTCACGTTAGCGTTTAGCGAACGAGTATTGATACGGAATTGTTAAGTCCTGGGCGGAGCCTGGCAGAATACAACATTGCTGTGAATGACGATGCAAAGGGCGTCTAATAAATTTCCTTAGTCAATAAATTACTGTTGAGTCGACATACTCGATATTGATTGATCGACAGGTGATCTCAACGAATCTGACACGGTTTCCTCTACCTTTCAGGGACCACCAGGATTAGACGGCATGAAGGTGAGCAATCCTCGGGGTGACCCGTTTAACCATACGTTATATTTATGATTTTCGGATCCTCAATTACTACGTTCCCGCGCCCACGATTTCATCATTCAGGCGTAAATTAAGCTGATTGCAAGCTTAACGGTATTATTTTAATGGCTATCGTATAGAACAAAGTGTTCGTTATGTTTCTTCATAATTGCAGGGCGCACAGGGAGAGCCAGGCATAAAGGGAGAAAGGGGGGACCCTGGACTGCCCGTAAGTGTTTCAACGTATTGAAATATTTTTGCTAGACTGCGGGTATTTATGCATTTATGACGAAGGAAAAAAAAATATACATATCGAATTGAGTAACTTCCTCCTTCTCGAAGTCAAACACGGTCAGTCTCGTAAGTATTCGTAGCCTCTATGTTTATTGAAGAAATTTATTTAAATCAAATGATAGGTTTCCTCTTTTCAAATAAATGTTTCAGTACAAATATGTACATGTAACATTTATTCATGTCTATGTTTATAATGAAACTTTTATTTGAAAACATGAAACCTATCATTTGATTTAGATAAATTTGTTCAATAGACAGAGGTACGAATACTTATGGGGTATATGCTAAACATAATCAAAAGATGTATAATTCATAGAAAATATATCAAATACGCATAGTGATATTATTATATTAATTAATAGAATCATATTCTGTATACATTATCTATATTTTTCGTATGTATTCGATATAAGTGTGCACCATAAATGCATAAAATACCTGTGCACGTAACTTTTATTTTATTTCATTCTATAGTTTTGCGCTGAAACGGCCGCGGTACTTAGCCTTATCTTGCGACTTACGAACTAGGCATAAACGACCCCTCTAATCGTAGATTAAAAAAACTCGGTGATCTTCTTCCTTCGCATACTCCAAGGTTATTGCAATGAACGTGATTGTATATTAAACAATGTACTTGAAACAATGACGATCCAATGAATAGCTTCCGCGCAGAACTCGCGTCTGTTCGTTCACCCAGAGATTTAACATTCGATAAGAATTGCGCCATCGACGAAACGGCGCGGCGTACAAAACGATATTCTGCCCGACTCGAACTCGTTTACGCTGTCATCGAGATATCAACGATGCATTCTGTTTGTCCCCAGGGTACTGATGGAATTCCTGGCACGGAGGTACAGTGGCATTCGATTATCGCTCGACCCTCGGTGTGACTGCGACACAGTCTGACCAGCCCGGGGTAACGACGATACATCTGCCTGATCTACCCCGGGGACTGTCCCCAAAAATTCGTCTCTTTACTTCCTTTTGCACGAAAAGGAGGGGCTGAAATTATATTCTGCGCCTTTCTCCCTCTTTACACCGAGGATGCACGACACTTTTTACCTGGTTCCATGTTCCTATCGAGAAGGGACGATTCAAAGACAAACACTCTGACAAGCAGTAGCTGTGAAGTGACAGATGTCAATTTTTTTATAGGTTTGTAGTGCAACCGAAAATGAGGGACAGGTAAGTTTTTTAACGGTGGCAACTTAAGTTTAAGACGTGAGAGAACCCTCTTAATTTTCAATCCTCTGATGCTGTCTTGAAAATTGCTAAAGGTACGAGGAAGTTTTTAAAAAAAATTTTTATAATTTCTGATGTAAAATGATTAATATGAACTTACCTACTGTAGGTAGAGCGTGATCTTTGAATGGGAAAAATGAGGGGGTACCCAGTTAGTAAAATGAAGTGTTCTAGATAAGGTAGAATGCTGTTGGTAATGTAGTATGCGATATAACGGAACAAAGAATTTATCAACAGAGTATTCTACACTACCAACAGAAAGAACTACCATATCAATCAAGTCTTACCTATAATGTTTATTTATGTTACAAATATGAACACAAATACGTAAAAGTTAAAAATATAAAATGAATAATTGTCGTAATATTCTTGTAATGGTAAACGATAGTCAGTTTATCAAGTCTGTGATGTCCGTGATAATGTTTAAAGCGATTTTTTAAATTTCTTATTAATTGCTTTAATTAAGGAGTAATCAAAAAACCATCAAGAATTTATTTTTAACAATTTCTTACATATCTACTAATTTTGAAGATAGCAACAAAAAGCTGAAACATAGAAGGATATTTTCAACTCTTAAACTTTAGTTTCCACAAAAAAAAAACACCTTATTTTCAAACGCCCTACGAACCTTCCAAGTTTTATCAAAATCAGCATCGATAACGTCACAGATTTTTCTTGTTAGGAAATTCCTAAATTCTTAAAGGCAATTTTTTCGACCACTTTAACATTTTCATACACGCATTAAATTTCATTCCAGTAGATAGTAACATAATAATATGCCCTATTATGGCAGTTGGAAAAAGCATTGTATGAAGCACGGTTTTTTCAGCGCTCATTAATTTTGTCACTTTACATAACACAAATAACTATTACCTCTTATTATCTGACTTAAATTAATTACAGTCACTTAAAGAAATACCATGTAGGACAAATACAGGTTGACCAACTTGACATAGCACACATTTAGTCAGCAAAATGACTTTTTCAAAATTACAGTTTTCTAAAAACTGCTTGTTTTTATCGATACGCTGATGTCACCGGCTATAAGGGGCTTTGAATATTAATGATAACTAAAAATACGGTCCAGAATAAGGTTGATTGTTTATAGATTTTTTATCTTATCGCTCCAAGTATAATGATTCCTATTATCTGGAAAATATATTAGAACAATTACAAGGCTTCATTTACGCTGCGTCAAATTAATGATCAAATTCAAATATGACATAACAGTTCATTATGGTCTCAATTATAAGATGCTCGCGCTAGAAATAATCTTATTTGGACGAGAAAGATTCAAGGAAATTTTTTTTTTGTTTTTTTAACAAGTTGATGGTGTCACGAACTCCTCGCAAAATAAGAATTTATTTATCATTTTTATTATAAAAATAATTACATAACAATATTCCTGCAATTTTCTGTGTTGCATGGATTTCTTCAAGTGTTTTTGACAGTAGAACACTTCAAATTAATCTGAAAGAAGGTTCTATTTTATAAACTTTTGTTAATTGAATTACTAATCTTTTCTTTAAAATTCTTTCACAGCAGTAATAATTTCGGTTTTTTATTTTTTTAAGAACACAGTAGTAGGATTAACTAGTAATCAATCACCTTATTAATCCAATAATTTTATATTGCCATCTAATCACTATATATTCATTAAACATACACAAATTCTGGACATAAACAATTGTTTCGAGAATCACACCGAAGTTCGAAATTTTAATCTCGAAGGGAGAGAGCGAGAGAAGCGCAACAATCCTCTCCATTTCTGTCTTTAGCGTCTCGACGAATGCACGATCGAAGTTAGAAACGTGGCTATTGAAATTCAATGAAACGCAAGCGAAGGCGAGAGCAGAGAAGTGTTAACATTGCATTACACGATTAATAATTTCCATCGGCTCGTCGACGTGTTTCCGTGATCGTAGTCACATGTAGCGTTCGTGAATGAAAAGGAGGATGCTGAAACATGGGCATTTTTTGAAACGAAAACTTCATGCAGGACCGTTTACAGTGTCACTCATAGAAGAAAAAACGCTCTTATAACTTTCATTACTATCCCAAAAGTGATGGGAAAGTCTTCAAAACTGGATGGAAATTTGTAAAACTGATAATGATCGTATCGCCTATATCTTAGGCTTTATCTTCATTTTCTTTAGATATTAAATCATCCTCGAAGTAATTGTCAATGAAATTGATAGGTAAATCAACTGAAGACTGAAATTGAGTATACAGGCTAGGCCAAGTAAAATTATTTACTCCATACAATTTGCTCCTGTAACTTTTGTAAAAACATTTCATTTAATAACTTCATCCCTGCATGAGTTATCTAATCATTCCGATTTAATGAAACACTCCGCATATACTTGATTTCAATCTTCAGTTGATTTACCTATGAATTTCATCAACAATTTAAGAAGAAGATAAAGAGGAAGCATAAAATATATGTGATACAATTGCTATCACATTTACACGTTTCCATCCATTTTTGCCCATTTTCCCATCACTTTTGGGATTGTAATAATAATGATAAAGACGTTTTTTGCTCTATGGGCGACGCTCTGAACGGTTCTGCATGAATTTTTCGTTTCCCAACAGCTCCAAAAATGCCCATTTTTGAGCAACTTCCTTTCCCGAAAATTTCTTTGGAGAACATGTGTATATCGTGCATGTAAAAAAGAAAACGAGGCGAGGCATGAACGTCACTTAACGAATAAATTCTTTGGCGTACCAATTCCAGGGACCGAACGGAGAGAAAGGTGCTACAGGCGAACCTGTGAGTATTGACGTAATACGACTATTAGTTTTAAATAAAATTGGACGGGGAAAAAAGACCGTAGCTCGATCCGGCAAACTGGCTCGCGCATAAATACCATTTCACGACGATTGTCTCCCCGATCGTCTGGTGCGCGAAACGTTTTCGCATGCCTGACCGTGAGAAATTATCGTTTCGAACATATTCAGCATCCTGTGTTCTAATTCACATTTCACCCATCGCCATTGTCGTTATTATTAACTTTTGTTGCCGTCGCTGCTGCCTAACCGCGGTGAAACGTGCGCAAGCGTCGCTGGGACCTGTTGCGTAAGCGTCGCGTGGTCATCCTCGCAACTTTTTAATACTGTTGGTCTCAGCGTTAGGAACGCCATTTATAATTCATAAAACAATGGGCAAGGGTTTATTAAATGGATCGTAAACGATGGATACATAGCATAAGGTGATTCATCGTGAGGTCCGGAAAATGTTTTGAAATAAAACACGTAATATTAAATGTGATTATGAGAACTTTATTATTATGAACTGAAAGAACGATTGATACCATTTATTTCTCGATGATCATTTCTATGAATAAACCAACTTGAATTGTGGCCTTGGAGCAAACATTCGAGCAAACTCGTGCCATTGGCCAGATTCTGGTTACGATGCTCGATAAAATGATGGCAAATTGGAGTTTGAAAATGAACCACTTAAAGCGTAGCCAACATTTCAAAGAAATAATCTGCAAAGAATAAATGGTATCAATTGTTTCTTGAGTTCATAATAAAGTTTTCATTACCACTACACTGCAGATTTTATGCATTTATGACGTACAATAATATAGAAAACATACATAAAATATAGATAATGTATGTTGAGTACATTCTACAATAAATATAAAAATATTATTCCATTTTTAAGTGCATATACCTTTTAATTATGTTTAGAATGTGTTTATTATATTAGTTTATATCGTAAATGCATGAAATCCGCAGTTTGATAATCACGCTTAATATTATGTAGTTTATTCCAAAACACTTTATAAATAAAAATTGACTCTTTTCGATCCCTTAACAAGCCTTTGTTAGACATTTGGGACAGAAAGGGAATTATAAACTGTATAAACATAATTTGAGCCTCGCTATAAGGGAAGATCGAGTTTCGTGTCCCCTGTTCCATACGCGTCGCTGGCTGCGCTGCTGCCGACGCTTACGGACGATTCGCTGTATCGCTGACATTAATATTATCAATATTTTTGTTACTGTTATTAACATTGTCATTAAATCTGTAAATGCCTCTCTTATTAAACGCATCATCGCACGAAAAGAAAAAAAGAAAAAGAAAGAAACGCGCCAAGATCAATTTGACACTCGTTATTGATTTTGCTATTGAAGCGTTATTAGTTAAGTGCGACTAGTGTTAGAAGCGATGCGAAATCGGTACCGAATCGAACGACAAGCATAACGAAGCCCGTTCACCGATGCGTGTATGCGCACCACGCATGTAAATCGTCCACAGACCTGCGTTTTTACACTCTCGTATCATCGTATCGTGTTTTTCCACCCCCTCCAACAACGTCGTACTTCTTATACTAGTCCTGCAGAGAATCGTTGACGTTGACCGATGCATTTTCTCACGAGAACGAAAACGAACGTTATCACTTCTCCACGGATACGTGTTCGCAAAAACGTGGCAAAATCCACGTATGCTGCCACCAGCGTATAACGTACACCAGTTTCCAATAACTTGAACGTCGTGACGGCAATCGAGGCACGATAAAACGTAGCGAACTGTTTGCAATAACTTTCTCGTTAGTCGGAGATGCCCGCAAAAGGGACAATCCGAACGATTCTCGGGGCGGGGATTCAAACAGCTGTTTCGGTAGATCTTCGGTTAAGCAGTAAACCCGTCGACACTTTTTTCGTTGGACGTTTATGCTCAATTGCGTATTCTGCACAACTGGATATTATAGTGCATAGAGAGAGTCTTTCTTGTGCCTGGCCTTTTTTGCACGTTTCGCGAAAACGTTTGTCTGCAACGCTGTTTACGTCACGCTGGAATTCTTGTGTATGAATACAGGGACCGGCGGGGAAACGCGGCAAGAAGGGTGATAAAGGAGACAAAGGAGATCAGGGTGTTCCAGGACTGGACGCGCCGTGTCCATTAGGCGCGGACGGACTTCCCCTGGCTGGATGCGGCTGGAGACCACCTCAGGTACCTCTTTTTCTGCTCGTTGATTGGTTCTTCGTACCCGAAAGAAGACTATTTCTCCCTCGTTTTTGTATTGTCTTCCCCTCCACCCCCAACTTTTCGAAACAAACATTTCCAAATTGACGAAAGTATTTCAGCTTTGAAACACCTACTCGTCGATGCTGATAAAACTGGGATAATGAGCTATTTTATTTCAGTAGTCGCCTAACAAAGTATGTTTGTAGATGCAAGAAATGCGTGCACGACGGCTGGTTGTCTGGCTTGGTAACAAGCGTTTTCGGAATAATCGTAGGTTTTGGATACGTTAATTTTTAATTGAAATTATAAGTGCTGGGACAGAAGAGTTTTTCAGCGGGGGAGATCTTCGAAAGATAGCCCTGCTTTATGGGGAAGATCCAAAGAGGTTACTATAGATAGGGTAGAGGAATCATAGATGCCTCTGTAAGTTAGCAGATGCAAAGAAAGAAGGAAGAAATGGAAAGAATATTTCTGTTTCTGTTTAAGTTTACGTGGGCACCAGAATTTTAAGACATAGTGGAAAAAGTCATACGAATTAAGAGGGGGACTAATGAATAAAATATATTTATTTTATACAATTTAAATAAATTCATTTATATAACTGAAAATAGCTTGTTCGAGGCCAGCAATTAGTCGTGAATCCGTGAATGGGAAATTATTTCACAAGATTCGAATTCCATTTATTAGTGTTACTCGACATATGTATCAGTCATGTAGTAATGATAGATGTAGTATTTTATTTAATTCTCTATGGGTTCGCGTAACTTTCAGGTCACATGCTGATATATTAGCAGTATACCAACACATTTTACTACGTCTACGTCCTAATTATATAATATCTCTGTAATGCGAAATATCAAAGTAAATGTCTTGCATCTTGTTTACGAAAAAGAAAATTCGACCCGTAGGGGGTTAATAATTGATGATTCACGTTTACCTTTTGAATTTATAAATTACGATTATCCTGTCGATGATTGGATAGCTAAGAATAGCTTTATCGAGATTAGCAATTAGTGGCAGATCCGTGAAATAATTTGACCTGATCACGCGAGAGAATTCGACGCAAGTAGGGTAATGGTTTGATGAACGTAAAGAATCGACGGGTGAAAAGAGTTGTAAGGACTAAGTAGGCACAACGAACGCTTGGATTCTCGCATATGCTTGGCAGGACATCACTAGCACCTCAGTGCCAGCTGTTGAAGGCCCTGAGCCAGCTGAGACGGATTACGACGAGCAAGAAGAGGAGGAATATGGAGACTACGCGGACCCAAACGGAAACCAAACCGAGCAATAAATGCTCGTTCTGCGCTGTTCTAATCACCACCAACTACTACCACCACTACCACTACCACCACCAAAAACCACCACCGCCATCGCCCTCATCACTCGTCTCACCTTGCTCTCCCAAACTAACGTGGTCCTGGTAATTGCAAATCCCGTAGTTATACTAACGTCGTTTGCATGCAACAAGCAGAAAGACAAGCTTTTAATCGACGAAAACGTTTTTGAAAAATGCTTCTTAGTCGCGTAACTTCCTTCCTTTCTTTTTGCGATGAGTAAGGCGGATCTGAATTCTTTTTCTTCGTGAAGAAAATCTAAAGACATCTCGACCTTTTCGAGAAGATCAGGAAATGGATAAATCCGGAAGGCTACCGCTTACTAAGTCGCTTAGCGAGGGCAAGTTTAAAAATTGTTCGCTTCTAAACATGACGATCACTCTTTGCAGCTATTGGTTACTACCATGGATTAAAGGATATGTAGTGGCCGAAGAAAGAATTCGTACAGCGATCCATTTCCAAAAAAACTATATGAAATTGTAATTTATTAACTTCATTTTTATCTTACTATTTACTATGTATTGGGCCTAACCCCTTTGCTCCGGGCCCCTCTAGTTCGTAGACACTCGGCAACCTAATGTGATCGGTTAGATAGATCTATGGCTGCTACCAATGGTAGTTATTTTTCTTAAAGTCAGAATAAAATTCAAGAAATTACTTGATATCTTTAATTTTCGGAAAACAGATTGCTATATTTTCTGTTACAAGTACAGTAGTGCATCGTTGAAAGTTTTCTCGCAATCGACAGCTATGCAAATATAAATCGATTGGCCAGTTAATATGAGCATTATTAATTATCATTATTTTCGATAATAAAAATACAAATTTATATATTTGCTTTTATACCTTTTGGAAAGTATTATTTATAAATTGGTGAGATTCTCCCAATGGTAATGAATCCAAACATAACCTCATTCGGACTATTTTTAATTAAACATAATTAAAAACCTCTCAGAAATAATTCCTGTATCGCTCAATTAAAAATAGTCAATCGATACTACACTTGAACGTAGACTCTACTCAAGTACCTCATCTACTACAAAAATTTCGTGTTGATCCAAAAAGACACTGAGATTTATGAAAATAAAGAAACAAGGATTTATATTAGTTGACACATTATTTTCTGCGCATTTATGCATCCGTTCAAATTTCTTAATATCTAACGTAATCTAATTCACATATCATAATGCACAGTGCATTATGCATTACTCTTCTAAAGGCGCCTAATTTCTAAGCTTTGTACATTCTGCATAGTTAAATCAGTAACAATTCCATGCCTCGCACAGATAGTAACCCCTGAAATATCATACAAAGGGTGAATCACATGATCAGATTTTTGTTGCTTAAAATCACGTGAAAGTCACAATATCGTATGTATTTCAATTAATTTTTAAAATAATAAAAATAAATATTAATGACCTTGGATCTCGTAAAGTATGATCATGAGAGAAATTTCTTCTGTGTTCTTTTGATTATCCCTTTGTTATTAACAGTTTAATATCCTTAAAAATGTGGGTTAAATACATTCATTTGGTTCGCCCTATATACAAAATACTTTAACTATATGTATGTATAAACAATAATTACCTCGATTATCCGCATGATTATTTCTTTACATATACCCGACTGCTTGCTTATTCGCACGACAGGATTACTTTTACGATCATGAATAGCAGATAAATAATTATATGCATACACGGAAATTAAACTTCTACCAATGGAACAGCAGTTTGTATGCAAAAGCACCGTACATGTATAATGGCAATGAATCTGTCGTTTCTGGACATACAGTGACTCAGAAAATTATTGGCACACATAGGAAATAATTAGGATAGGAAAGATTAAAGAAATAATACAAGATCTTTCTGTGCTTTTTATTTAAGAAATATAATATCGACTCACTATAAAGACTCACAAAAAGATATGAAAAAAAAGAACTATAGTTATGTCACAAAATGGTTGAAACAGGTTATAAAAGTTAATAATTTTGGTACTGTTACTAAACTGCCGGACAAAATTAGCGGAACACCTTTTTAAATGTTCATAATTATGAGAGTTTTCAACCGATTTCAGTAAAACTTCGTGAGGAGTAGTCTTCGAGTGTCTTCTGGGTGTGTACAAAGTTGCATTGGCGAGGGTTGATGTGAAGGGGTTAATTCAGATTTGGAATCAGCGACCTCGAAAACCCCTGTATACCAATTTCATCTAAATTCAGTCATTTTTCGCATTTTGTGTCGTTATGTTATATCCGCCATTTTGAATTTCTAAATTTTTAGTTCAGATTTGGAATCAGCGAGTCCGATAACCTCAGGATACAAAGTTTTATCAAAATTGAATCATTTTTCTTATTTTGGTCCGCCATTTTGAATTTCTAAATTTTTAGTTCAGATTTGGAATGAGCGACCTCGAAAACCCCTGTATACCAAATTTCATCAAAATCGATCGTCAGGAAAAATGGATATAAATGTTTCTCTTTTAAAGAACTTTGAGGGGTATCCCAACCAAGAAATACTACTATGTTTACTAGTATTTCTCGGAATTGGAACGGCCTTGCAAGGACACATGGCTATATGTATACGTCACTACGTCACTATATGTATAGGTCTCTACGTCTGTCCTCTTATAATTGTCTATAAAATAGGAAACTTTGAGGTGTCATAGCTCAGCGTAGAATTGTCCGATTCGATTCTACCAAAATTCAATTTAAAGGGCACAATTTTTACTACCTAATACATAGGTATTATCATTGTCAAATACTTTTAAACAATTGTTTTTTTTATAACAATGTATGTAACTTTGAAGTGCCTAACTCGGCGTAGAATCGTCTGATTCGATTCTAACAAAATTCAAATTAAAGGGTGGAATTTCTACTATCTAATAGGTAGTTACTATCATTGTTAGATACTCTTAAACAATTGTTTTTTTTTTAAATATATAATTATTAAATATTACTCTCATTGTACCATGTAGCTCGGCGTGGAATCCGATTCGATTCTAACAAAATTCAAATTGAAGAACGGAATTTGAATGATCTAATATGATCATTGTTAGATACCCTTAAACATTTGTTTTATTTATTGCTATTTATAATTATAGAACCTGGCACCTTTATAAGTGACGTTTTTGGACGTCCCCCTCTTTAAGGGGATGAATTAACCCCTTCACATCAACCCTCGCCAATGCAACTTTGCACACATCCAGAAGACACTTGAGGACTATTCCTCACGAAGTTTCACCGAAATCGGTTGAAAACTCTTATAATTATGAACATTTAAAAAAGTGTTCCGCTAATTTTGTCCAGTAGTTTATTTGCTAGGGTAACCTATTTGTATTATTATTTTGCAACCTCTCTTTAGCAATAATTATTTGACGATAATTATTTTAAGACATTTAACCTGTGGATCATAGGATCGTGGATTTGAATCTCCTTGTCTTTATCTCTCATTGGGACTCCCATATATGGATGACGGAGATTTTCACTAAAAAACGAAAAAATTAATTCTGATATTCAGGTGATAAAGAAAAGACATTTGTATATAACTCGTGAATTTTGATCGGATTGTAACAATAAATACTATCGCAAGTGTTAGATTATATGTTTTCTTAGTGTATAAAAACAAAATTTAAGCTTCATGCATATTTTCATGAGTATTTTTAAAGAAATCATTCAAGAAATAATCAAAGATCTTTCTATGTATTTCATTTAAGAAAGTGTTAATCTCTTATGTCCCTGTTACTCCGCGTATGTGCCAATAATTGGATGACTCGATGTATTATAAGAATCTGTTAGGCTTGCTTGAGAATTTGCAAATCGTTCCTGGGGAAAATCATTTACGCCAACGATTCTTTTATCATGGTTTCAGGGAACAAGCAACATTCTTCACGAATGGCTGGAAGAGGAAAGAGAGGCGGCGGAGGAGGGGCAGTGATTACAGTTTAAGGAGATAGCGCATATTTTCAAGGACCTCCGTGTATATTCCATTGTGAAAGTACCGACTCATCCGATTCGACGTGAAAAAAATGAACCGAGTTATTTAAGAAAGAAAATATATATGTATATTACGCATATATATATATTTTTTTGCATATATATATATACACAGATATGTATGCTGAACTAATCATCTTGCCATCAAGTGTTGTAAATAAGTGTACTTACAGTGTTTAGCGTCCGCAAATAGTGCGTGTACATAAATATTTAGAGCTTATTACCGCTCTGACGCGGTTAGAACAATATCGACATAACTTTATCGACGATTTGTAAACGATAAGTGTCTATAACTTGTAAGTTACTTTATTTCTAAGGAAAGTAAGAAAAAAAGCAACAAAAAAAAAAAAACGAAACGATTTACCGAATTACCGAAGCATTCGCACAACATATTACGTGATAACCGATAACGAATACGAAAGATTAAGTAATTTATTGATCGACCAACACCGTTGGATAAACAATCGCGTGATGGTTTTTTTTTCAAAGTGCTACATGTTACTGCGTGGGAAAAACTTATTCCCCATCGTGTCTGTGCGTTTGTTACAAAAGTGTGTTTCATGGAAGCACACAATGGGACAATATTACGAACGGGAGAGATGGATAAGTAAATGAACATTAGGTAACCGTGGATTACCAACCATCGTGATACATATTGCTTCCTAGAAATACCAAACGTCGTAATACACATTTTCTCAGCTATCGATGCATTCGTAAAAAGAAAAAAAAAAGGTGAATAATTAAGTAAAAAAAGAAAAAAAGATGAATGGTTCATATGCGTCACCTCCAGAATTGATTTTACTGGCATTAATACGTTGAATTAGGTGTTACCTGACGAAACGCACTTTCAGAAATATCATTAGTTTTAACGTCTATTTAGGTAAATTTTAATCAGCATTATTTTTCATGCGTTAATTTATTTTTTATTGAAATGCAACACAATTACGATATTATGTATTTATACGTGGTCGTGTTAATAATTAATTTTTATTGCATATCGCTATGTTCTTAAGATTATCATTTTTTTTTTAAATAACGTTACTTTCGAATGGTTCGAATTTTTACTTCCTTAAATTTGGATACAACTTTGAATCATCACTTTCAAATTGAAAATGCTCTTCCATTGTGAAAATGATGGAATGCATTTCGTTTTTAGCGGAAAACAATTGTCACTTATTTTCCTATGTAGTACGTAATACGTATTATTCTGCGAAGAATGCATGTATGCGTACCTGTGTAATTTTGTTGCCTTTGGCATATCGTGTAAAGTGCACATTTTTGCACGGTCGCAAAACACAATTTTTATACGAATATCAGTTAATAACGCATATCTTTATGTAATTTTCATTTAGATTAATAATAACGCTAGTTGTAAAGCAAAGGAGTAACGTGTACACATTGTCAATATTACCAGGTATTGTAAAATAAAATATAAATGTATATCCGAAATGTTCTGCCGTTTTTATGACTAACGTACAATAAATCCCTAGTTGGAATTATTCCCTATTTATATATAAGAAGAAAATGATCTTAAGGTGTTCCTTTTCCCTTCAGAATGAACAATGACCTTATTATTTGGGTTTAAATTTGAAACATTGAGTTCAAGTATTTCACTGAATGTACAATATTATTCTTATATTTTATTATAATTTGTACACAATGCAGAGTAACATAGAGTCGTGTATGTTGGAGCTATGTATTTGTTACATTTTAAGTAATTTGTATTTTTTAAAATACGATTTCACCTTATCCTTAGGATAAGGTTTTGTTGCCAAACATGTTGGAATGTTTTCAGGTTGTTCGAACCACAGTTTATGATCGATGTCGTCACTTTTTAATTTTGAACATAACGTGTGTAAACTGGTCTCATCTGGAATCTAATATTTATAAACAAATATAGTATAAATACCCATACTCTTTCCTTGTGTTAAAAACTATATGCACATTCTAATATATATTGTTTCTAGGTACACTTACTTCGAGAACAACCTTGTGCATATCATCTAAATTGGCGAGGTAGGCTTGAGTGTAATTGTCATTATAAAAAAGATGAGTAACAGCAGTGCATGCATGGCATGCTTGAGCTATGATTGCACCTATAGGCCATCCCATTGTCTTTAAGAGGTCTCCCCGTACCACCACATATTGAATTATATCGCTCATTTTAATGATTTTGAGTTCTTTGATTTAGAATGTAATAAAAGTATGAAATGAGTAAAAGTTGTTTGATCTCAAAGAATTATTCAATTTTATTTAATAGTTGGGAATAAGTGCCAAAAACTAAATATAATTCACAATTATAAAAGACAAGAAAAATACTTCCAAAATATTTATCTATCAAAATTATGTCTTGCTTAGCCCTGTAATAATTAACATTGAAATATGGATAACATAATATTATTCTTTGGGCATTGTAGTATGAAGCAGATGTATTATTTATATAAATCGTTATTATAAAATAAGAAGTACTCATAAATAAACATTATACACTGTACATTATAGACCATAAAATATAATTTATTTGTCTAAATGTAACTCAAAAATATACATACGTATATACATTGTCATTCCTTCTCAAACTTCAAATATGTATATATTAGCGTAATAAAAGATAATAAATAAATTAGAATCTTGATAGCAATAAACAATAATTCTTAATAAACCAATTTATATATTTTTTTAAATTTATGCCTTTAATTCAAGTAACTTAGAGGTTAATCGATGCTTCTATATATAAATTTATAACATCTTGTTTAACATAACTGTATCATAAATAGTATTTATAAAGAATAGAAATTGATAATTGTATTTCTAAAATACCCTTCCATATGTCAGAATGCAAGCAAAACAATTTACAGTGGTTTCGAATAAACTTGTCCAAACTGTATATTACTTTAGGTAAGTATCAGGTGGTTCCTATATTCAACCGTATTTTACCAATCAGAACTCGAAATGTACTTACACACTTGAGACAGTCGAAACAAATCCAAACGTTGTAGCATAAGAAAAATGTTAAAAAACGATTACAAAGATTACATTATAAAATTCAGTTTCAAAACACAATACTGTAATCGTGTAATCAGTGCCATCGCTGGAAAAACGTTCAAGTTTGTCGTGGAAGAATTCCGTGTTCTAACTCTAGATGGCGGGACAAGTGTCTTTTGAAAATTGAATGATGGACCATAAATGATAACTCATACTTTTGACAGCATAATTCAAGTTATTGATTATTATGTTGAAGATTTATATGAACAAAATAAGAGAATATGTAAATAATTGCAAAGTCAAAAAGTCGGTAATGATTAATACAGTGTAGTTATCTATTGAGACATACGCAGAATTAAACGACAACAAACTTAGATGGTTTGCCACAGATAGCGCCACAATCGATAATTATACTAGTCAAAACAAAACTAAAATACAGAAAGTATTAATAACGATATATTTTCTATAATAAAATTCTTGAATTATTCTTTGATTATGATTTTTAATAAAAATAAAGTAGTAATTGATACAATTACAGTTGCAATTAGTTTTTCGAGTATTATTTGATCCAACGTAGTAGTTGTGAAATCGAGCACGCGGCAACTTCGAAATGACAAGCGAACTAACAAAAAAATAGTTACAACAAATAGCCCTTACCACTATGGTAAATTCGGTACTGTGTTTATAGTGTATGTATTGTATTGTATTATAATTATCACGGTGACGCTCCAGTAACCGTCATTCTCTGATGATCACCGTTACACTTTGATCATCCCCGTCACGCTTCGATGACCACCGTTACATTCTGATGATCATCTCTGATCATCATCGTCATGTTCCAGTAATCATCGTCGCGCTCTGATGGGTACGGTCACGTTCTGGTGACCATCGTCACAATCAATCAGACCGTGACCGTGATGGCCAGACTGTGACCATAAGTCCATGACATTTTATAGTAACAAGACAAAAGTAAGAAAGAATATTTCTTTGATTTCTGATTGTTATTGATTTTTTCTTGGATGGTTCCGAAGAGAAAGAAGTAACACTCTTATTTCTTCACAAAAATTTTATTTTCGCACATTTCCTGCGTTTCTTTTACAACTTTAGCTACGTTTTATACAATTTACAAAAAGATTCTTCGTCTCTCATATTTTTCGGCAGATTCTGCGCGTTCCAACAAATTAATAACGTTACACGCTTCAATGAAAATAGTAATGAACGAATAATTGCGACGGGATAGCTAAATAACATGGATATGCTTGACACGAATGAACATTGGCGAGGTCGATGAACGATGACGACGATAAGAATAATTTACTACGTGTGTAGATAATAATAAGTAACAACTACAGTAACGATAATATCATTGATCGCTCGGAAAGAAATCTTTCGCGTTTTTCTTCTTTCACTAGCTCCGCCTCTTTGGCTTGTGAACGTTTACGACTGACCGTAAATAGTATAAATAAATAAATAAACGTTTAATTACCAAATTAATGATGCTCGTCTCGGCGAATTCGACCCGAGAACCTCGATTGTTAATCTCGCCTAAATGCGGGACGAGTTCGTTTATCGTTCGAGGTGGAATTCGCTAAATTATTTCTTTCTTACGATTAAAAATAATGACTTCGGTTGATTTAATCTCGCGAGGAACCTGCCTTGGCCCGAGTAGATGAAAGGAAAAAATGGTGCAGTCTGTGAAATTAATGAATTCACGCGTTTAGCTAACAAACTCTAGGAAATATTTTCCACGCGCTGGGCAATCGCTGACCGACAGCCAGGATCATCGCGACATTTACGAACGGATGTTTGAACTAACCGCGGTGTCGATCACTCGCGAATCGTTTTCCCCGACTAGACGTCCAAAAGGCGGCGCGAAAATTACATCTTTTCACGCGATACGGTAGAGGGTCCTACAAGATACCAATGCTAACGTCCTGACTTCTCGAAAACATTTTACGGAGACAGTTTACTTGTATATGTTACGGTCGAACTACGGATTCAATCAATGTATACATTCACTAGTCGATGAATACAAATTTGGTATCTGGTTCATTTACTGGTTCGTCAAAGTAAACATTCGTTGGAATAATAACACTTTTACTGGTAACTGTAGAGATTCATAAGTGGTTTAATTTACACCTTACTTATGAGCTTTATGTGTTTCAATGTACACTTTCACTAAAGTTTCTAGTGAATGTGTACTTTATTTAAGCATTAATGTTTTAGTGTACACTTTCACTAACGTGCCTAGTTAATGTACACTTTCTATAAGGTCTATAGTGAATGTATACTTTAAAAATCCTTGTAAATGTACACTTTCACTAAAGTCTCTAGTGAATGTGTACTTTACTTAAGCATTAATGTTTTAGTGTACACTTTCACTAACGTTCCTAATTAATGTATACTTTCGCTACAGTCCCTAGTAAATGTATACTTTCGATAGTCTCTAATAAGTGCATATCTTCTGTATATTAAAGACTCGTAAATGCATTGACCCCAGTAAATATGTATTTACACAGAAGTCCTTAACAACTGTATACATTCACTAGTGATTGTATACACTCACTGAAGCTCACGTTCCAACTGTAACATATACACAGCACCTCATCAATTCCTGTGAATTAAGACCTTGCACGATCAAGAACGACGATGCGAAATTGCATGGAGAAAGTTTATGTTTAAAATTATTTACAACGTATAGGAAATGAATTCCAGTGCTCGGGAATCGGATCGTTTGACTCGGTATCGGTATCTTCGCATGCTCTTCTTCGTATTTGCAACACGTTCGAGTACAGCATCGAGGTCCAACGCATGAAATTCCAATGCCCATGCAAATACACCTTTAATTTAAAGTTCCCAGGCGTTTCACAAATCGTTGGAATAATTTATAATTCCCTTCAACGATTTCAGTTACGTATCTACTGTTAAAATTATTGTTTAAAACACGGTGAGAAATGGAAAACGTTTACGGAGAATTAAAACTGATTGCTCATTGAAACGTACAAGTAATTTAAAAACTAAATTTGGAATCTCGAATACTTATTCTTCTCGTTAATCGAGGATTGTGCACTTGCTATTTTCCAATATAATTAAGTCGACTAAAATCAAAATTCTGTACAATGTCCGTCGTGATAATAATTTAAAAATAAACAAAGTAAATTATGTTAATTTCACTGCGGGTAACAGCGGGATAGATTATAAACTGCCGAACTTAGAGTAGGCCCTGTTAGCCTGAATGCGCTTCCATGAATTTTTTCATTTTTATTGGACGAAGCAACGTCGATGGTATTCGAACGCGTGTTTTTTTGCTTGAAATACTTTTTCCTGTAATCGTTGGGACTACATCTCGACAAATCTCGCAACGCGATTGCATAACCGAAGAAGAAAGTTGAAGAGATTTCATAAATCATAGACGACGATAGATCGAATCACCCTGTTTGGTTCTCAATAGGGCTTTCGAGTTGCATCTTGCCATTTGGAGCAAGAAAAAGTGTTCTTCAATATCTTAACGCAGGCATGGGCAACTCGATGCCTTGCAATCTCTGACTTTCTGGAGCAAATAGCTTCCTGGTTTATTACCATGATAGTGCCGCTAGTTACAAAGTACTCTATGACCGTGAGGATCTAGGTGTATGTACAGATCAGAGCTACAATTTATTCTACAAATTTTAGTCAGGGCGATTGAGGAATAAACCCACCGTGTCGATAAAGATTGTAGTAGAACAATCTTATTAAACTAATGGATTCGCTCCTCATCACAAGAGAACGTTGTAGCCGCCATGATGTGTTCGACAGATATGTACTGGAAAAGGGTTAAAATAGGACGGTGTTTTAGTCAACAGAGAAGTAGCCCTAATAATCCAAAATTGTTTAAAGTGATTGTAACATCTCTACAGTTACAATTACAGTTGATCCTCACTCGCCATATCTTGCAACGATAGATGCTCGTGATGTGTGTGCTTGCCTAAATTTACGAGCAGCGGCACTTGCCCTTGTCCGTCGCAACCTAGTTGCCCATGCCTGTCTTAACGTTTCATCCATCCCCTGCCGCTACTAATTGACTAGCATCGTTAATCACTCTAGGTTTGAACTCGATCGCTCTTTCGCCTTCGACTCTTTGGTACAAATTTCCTTCTCTTTCCTTCTTCTTAAATCTCGCTTTTCAAGTTCTCGCACGTCGTTCAGAGTGCCCCCCCCCCTTCCCTCGCTTTCCTGAAGAACAATTCTCGAAGAGTCTATTTCTTTTGGAGTATTGCGCGGGATTGGCGTCAGGAAGAGAATCAAGGCGATTCGTCATCTCCGAGCCTCGAATCGGTCAACGACGCACCGCTCGATATAGAAAGATAAGTATAGTTGACGGAACAAGTATAGTAAAATTAGAGAGATCCGCTTTGGTCGCTAGAATCTTCGATTTAAACGGAGCTATCAACCATTGAGCAAATATTAAAAGAACACAAAGATATCCTGTTGCTTTCCAAAATTATATAAATTGTAAAGAATATATCATGTATATCATAAGAATATATCAAAACTTAAAGTCTTTTAATGAAAAAGATTGGAAATGAACTTAACTTCTAATGAGCATACTCAGTAATTGATAATTTGCTACCTCGCTACATAAGAGACTAGCATCCAAGAAGAGTATCGCTGTACTTCCCCTCGAAACCGACTTAAGAAGATCACTATACTTCGTTTCATCAACCATACGTTGCACGTGTTCGGAGATTGAACGTCGGAAACTATCCAATGTCCGCTTTCCAGTCGACTCGCGTTGAATTTGTGCGACCGCCGCAGACTTGTACAATAGGAAGCACAAAAGCTATCCTGACGCTACAGCAACACTAGTCCCGCCAGTGGAAAAACGGTTGGCACGAAGTGCGCAAAGTAAATGCGCGAGAGACCATTCGCGGTTGACTGGTACACGATATGAATGGCAAGGAATGCACAGTCGATCGATTGATGCTAGTTTTCTTGCATACAGAAACATGTTAATTAAAGAAATAACAAATAAAGGAACCGTGTAATTGTCATCGTCACTCTACCTTTTAATTTAAACAAGTTTTTTCATTGCTGAAATTATTCCTATAAACATTGATGGCGATGGTCAACTGATTTTATAATAAAGTTCCTGAGTTTTGCGAAACAATATCCATGACTTTAGAACTACAAACTCAAACGGTGTGAAGATAGAAATGAAAGAAATGAATTCTGTGAAACCCATAGGCAGTATTCGTTAGTTAAAAACTATACAAACCATGAACTGTTGCTACTAACGTTGGTATATTCCTAGCGTTAGTAGTCTTTACATGTGAAAACCCTATATTATCTAATCAGACATTTAAAGTGTTAACGGCTTGGATTTTCATTCTCGATACTAATTGAGACTTCGAGTAAAATACTCCAACGTTTCGACAGAATTACAATTAGTTCTTTCAACAATCATTTGACTTCTGAAGAAGCTAGCTGCAATGCTGACAGAACATCAGAAGCCTCAATTAGAACAAAAATTATCAACTTGCCAACAACGCACGGGTCTTCTACTTTGCATCTAGCGTGCGCACTACGCGCCACTAGAGTTTCTATAATGGCGGTAGTGTTTCTATGGCGGCAGGGTAGGTTCTACGACTCGTATTGTACCGGGGATAAACGAGACGCTCGATCGAAACTTTTTCCCCGATTGCTACATGAGAAAGAAAAGAAAAAGAAGACGGAAGCGCCGAGCAGAGTAGGCTCGAGGAGATCGAGGACGCGACGAAATCGCCGTCGGCACGCTCACCGAACGGAAACTATCAATAAATAGAGTAAGCTTTAACATCGCGTCGCTAGGAACAGGCGCGACAAAGAATAGCAGTCGCAAATAAGTTAATAACACGCGGGAAAAATGGCGCGCGCGCGTCCAGTCAAAGCAGCCGTGCCAACCGCCGAAAACCACCGCAAACACTCATACAAACGCACCAAAACGTACTTAAGAGACGCGATTCAATTGCAAGCAGGGCTTTTGGATCGAGGTGCTCCGCGATGGTCGCGAACAAAGGGAAACACTTGAATTTGTTCGCTTTTGTTTTCAATGCTTCTTTGAATAAATCACGCACAAGGAGAAATTTAAGAGTCTGACGTCAATTAAACTTTCTCTCATGTGACTAGGTCTCTTTCGTCACGTGACATCATGTTGAGTACTCAAACTTCATTGAAAATTGACTTCATTTAAACGCAATAAAAAGAAATATGGATATATTTATATAATGATTTTTGTTGAGAAATGAATTTAAATGTTTTCTCCTATTATATAAACTACAACCTTGCGCTATACAATGAACTTGATAAATACATAAACGAGAACTAGAAACTTTTGAACGAGGTAGATAACTTCTGCTACTCGAAGGTAGATATATTAATCCTTTGTTGTCTCGTGTCGAATGAGGGTTGACAAAAATGCACTGAAATATTAGGATATTGGTTTCGAAGGCTCCTAAATTTTGCTTATCCATAGCAATCAAGACCACGAAGCATCAATTTCAACCAAGTTTCTCCTTTGTTCGCAAGCGACAGTGCGATTATGCGATCATCGGACTAGATCCCGTGGCTGACCGATTTTCCACGGTCCCACGTCTTCGTTATTTTCGCCTCTGCTTGAATTCCATCTTACGTTATCCTCTCTGATTGTTTCGCTTATCCACACGCTTGCATACTCGCGCGCGCATACACACCAACACGCACACACACAGGCGCGCGCGCGCGGGTCCGTCGGCGCAACTATATACAGTATTATTTACAGTTTAGTGGAATACAGATAGGAATCGCCCATGCTATCAAGACGAGAGTTTCTTTGAGGAAGCCATGGGCCTTCGACTGTATAGTCTCTAACTCATGCGACGGAGAATCAATAGCATGAGCGAGCCCTTAGGCGCTGACCGATCGCTCACGTGGACAGAGAAACGTGAAAAAGATTCAACACCTTTGAAAATATTCGCAACGAACGATCTGCGACAAATGGGCAGGAGTTCAAGACGCGTTTCAAATTCACGTCGCTTTTTTCATTAAACTCGACACCGTTGACAGTGCATCCTTGAGAGTCATTCAAGCAACGGTCTGCAGATGTTCTCAAAACGTTTTCGAGATGTTTCGAGGCAAGCAAATAAGTCGACTTGGTAGTCCCTTCATCAGTTACCCTATAGAGGGGATGATTGCTATAACAGTCACTGAAAATAGGGGACTGAAAAAGTGAAAAGATCTTGAAACGTTTTCTCAACCAAGTTAATTCTTTTACTTGCTTGATCGTAGCATAGTATCGGAAGAATACATTAGTAGAAGCTGGATTAACTCATTGATGCTTTTCTTTTCGTGGAGTTCTTAGGGATGATCCTTTTTGTGTTACATCATGTTACCTATTTTTTAGTTGGTGGCGCTGGAGTATGTAGGTAGCGCTGGTGTTCATATGGCGCGCTAAGACCAATTCTGAAATCTTCTTCGTTGCTTTTTGAAATCAAATCCTACGCAGGAGTGATTTTATTCCTTTGCTCTTACATATACTTTTCTTCTCTTAGACGTGGACATTTTAGAACACTCTTTTTCAATATTAAGACGCTACGTAGCCCAGGTCTTATCGCATTTCCTCCGTCCACATTTTCTTTCTTCCTCCGTTCAAGTTTTCTTTCCTTGCACGTAGACATTTTGAAACATCTTCTAAGACCAATCCTCAAATCTTCCTCATCTTCGATATTCTTTTCTACTGAAACACCATGTAACCAGGTCTTATTGCATTTCTTCCTCCCGTATCTCTCTCTTCCCTTGCGCGTGGACACCTTGGAACATCTTCTTCTATTCCCTTCCTTTGGACACTCAATTTGGAAAGAACGAAGGAGGACATCGTTCCATATGTTTCTTTGGTTTCTGCGTACCTCAAGGCGACCGGTGAACGATGAAATTCGTCGAAAACTGAGGTTTGGACCACTGGTCACTCCCAAACCAGAAAGTTCTTTCCTATCACTTCTCGTTGGCTCGACCGCCGACGCTTTGTTGCATTTCGCCTCGATGGCGTTGGAAGTGGACTCCCAGAGGTATCTCAAATCTTTGGCTTTTCACCGGGAAAGTAGTAAGTGCATTCGAAGCACTCGAAGGGAAGGGACCGATTTATAGCATTCAATTCTCTTACATTTTCAGGCCTTTTCCATTTCTCGCTTCTCGTTCGTTGCTTCCTGCCCTCGAGATTTTAAATAACGTCTCTCCGACGCATTATTTCGACGTCGTCGCCGTATTGTTCATCTTCTCGTTTTCAGTCGCTTTTCGATCGGTCGTTGAATCGACTCCGCGTAGTTCCGAGGGATAGATCGCCCTAATGAGAAATCTTTTGGAAATTAATGCTTCCTTGCGCTGGTTCCCCTGCTCTCTATTTCCCTTGTGTTCTATTCCGTTTAATTCCCTATATGTTATGCATATGAACACCTGGAACGTTTGCTTTCTCTTTTATCAGCTTGATATCAATTTTGAAAATATGTCCATCATTTACTGTTGTTAAGGTCAATTTCAATTTTTCGTCGACAAGTGGCCGTATCTTGAAGTTTCTATTCTGTATACGTTCCCAGTATTTCCCATTTATTTTCTCACCGAACAGCTGAAACGCTTCCTTTCTCTACCGTCACCTTGACATTGATTTAGAAAAAAAAAAGTAATCGCATATTACCGTCAAGTTAAAGTCAGTTCTAGTTCTCTCTATTTTGATCACAAAACTCTTCTCCTCAGTAATTCGTTACGGGACTCCTGTGAAGTCGTCTGGAATCGCTTTTCACGCAGATATGTTCCGAGAATTTGGTAAAACTCTTCACGGAGAACAAACGTCACCCGATTCTTGTTCGCGCGTCTATGTCACGAATAACGAACTGTCCACCGTTTGCCTCGTTCGTTACTCTCTTCGATGGATGACAAAGTCGCCATTTTCAAATTTACTGCAAACTTTCACCGGGATTTCCCTCGAAGATCGCGCTCCCTGCTTTCTCCTCTTCTTCCAACAGCGGTTCTTCCCCTTTGTTTCCTCTTGATTCGTTGCTGTTCAGCTTCGCGTTACGTGTTCCGTGGTTGCCCGTACGCGAAGCTGACCTCACGTCATGGATAGTCCGGGTGCATCAGATTGTACATGATCGCGAAGATCGTGCAGGCGGCGTAAACGCCTAGCGCCACCCACCAGAGCAGCTGCTCGTGGAGCCGTTGCTCGAAATTCTTCAGCACCAGGAGACCGATCGTCAGGCCTGCCAACGCGCCCGTCAGATGCGCCACGTACGAAACTGGCGGGCCCATTTGCTCGGCCGCGTACCTGTCGTAGATGGCGAATCCCACATCGGCACTCGCTGAAAATCAAACGGATTTCTGGTTAGATAGCGCTCGTCTCTAATATTGGTTCTAATGGTGAGGTCCAAGTCAATTTCAGTTAGCAGCTCTCTAATTCAGACGTTACAAAACGTTCGAGAGTTTTCGAGATCTTTGAAGAAGTTTGGGGGAATTTCAAAAAGGAATAGTTTCACTAAGTTTTGAAAACTTTCGTTTCAAATCGTTTTAAAACGTTTGAAAGAGTCTCAAGGCGTTTCAAGACATTCAAGTCCATCGAGTCAACTAAACTGTCAACTTAACTCAAGTCGATTTAAACTGACTTGAGCCGGTTTAAAGTTTTACATACTTGAACCGTTTAGGAGTTTGCAAGAAACTAGACGAACTATGTAAAGATCGGACCAATAACAAGAGCCATGCCAGACGAAAATTTGACCGGTGTTTTCGAAACATAAGAATCTAGAATTGCGGGTCTAAATCTCCAACCCTTACCGATCACGAAGATGCCTATTAATCGCACTATGCCGAACTCCATGTTGTTGTAGTTGAGAAGGACGTTGGCTAGATGAGCTGCGAGCAGAGCGTAAACACCCCCGCTGGCGCCAACGAGGTACACGTCCGTGTCGAACACCGATGTACCTAAGGAACCTGCGAACAAAACAACGAAACATTGTAGTTCAGGTTCGAAATTCACTTGAGTTGCAGTTAATATTATTTTTAGCCTATACGCTTAGTCTATATCTGAGGGGAAACTTAGTAATAATTTAAAACATTTTTAGAAAAAGAATCTACCGCTGTCCGCGCGCTATAACATTACAGCAAAGTTATATTCTCGGTTATTGCTTGAACAAATATTGTTAATAATTAATGTAACTACTGCTAGAAATTAAGTTCTGACAATAGTTAAATTAATTATTAACAAGACTTATTATTTAAACAATGATGGGGAATATGATTTTGCTGTGATATTAATTTTTCACGAATTATTTTCTCGATGGATCCAACGAGTCGTCGACGCGACCGTCACAGGGTTGTTGTTCGCCCTTCCCCTTCTCTACTTCGAGAGGCACGAGCGAGCCGCGACCCTCGACACAGGTATACGAGGGGTGAGAGCTCATTCTTCGAAGATCCTTCGGTCGGTATGGATCTCGCGATCGCGCGTCAGCGTCTCGTGTCCCTCCTATTTTTGCTTGTTTAGTTTCCCTTAGTTATCGTAGCTTGGTATTGGTTGTGGGTAGCCTAGTTTGGTTAGTTTTAAGACATGTACCTAAGTTAGTTTTAAGGCATGCGTGTACGAGTGTCTGTCCTCTACCAAATAATTATTAATCATTTATTCAATTCTTTTGTTTGTTCGTGGGTCCATATTGGACTCGCAACATCGTTCTCCACTTCGATCACTATCACTTGACGTGATAAGTGTAGTGACCAACTGTGTAACTGGACAGAAAGGTCGGTTGCCGTCCTCCTGGCGGATCTGATTCGAGAGGAAGACAATCGGCTCTTTCGGATCGGTTCTCCACTTCCTGCATCACGTTTAGTGTAGTCCAAGGCTCCCGGCGCAGTGCAGTAAGTCCAAAGCGCAGTGAGACGGGTGCAAGTCGTGTCCTATAGTGGCTCCCAATGGAGTGCGGGGAGTAGGGAATTGGTTCGGAGGCGTCGGTCGTCTTCCTCTCGAGTCCAGATCCAACAGGAGGAAACGGGACTGACTCAGTAAGTTCGTTACATGGTCGCGTCGTTTCGCGATTTCCATGTAGCTTCCATTTAGTTCAAATAATTATTTGGCAGAGTCAGACTTAGACTTTAGAAATCGAAGGGAATTTTGTTTTCCTTTGATCTTCATCGTTTCGTACTTAGTATTAAGTTCGTCGACTCTATGTAGAATATGCATCTACGTATGTATAGTCTATGTAGGGGGAGATCGAAGGAAGTTTGATTCCTTCTACCTCCGGGTCTCCAGTCGCAGCAACCTCCACGTGGTGAGACCTGATAGTCGGTATTATTCGTGACGAACAATCCTTCGTTGCGAGTAATACCGAGCTAATGGCTGCGAACTTGGAATACGATCTTTAGAAATAAAAAGTGTAAAGTGTAAAGTGAGATTAGATTTAGATTAGCAGGAATACGATTAGTTTTCAGAAAAATTCATTTGCATAAATTATGTATTAACATTAATACATTTTTATTGCAAAATATTAGACAATTATCACGACAATTTGTGTTTTTAAACTACAGATCAAACTACAACATACGTATTTTCTGAAATTTTCTTTTCTTGCATTATAAAATTATCCTATTTGTAATGTTCTTACATTCTGTGCGAAATGTAATCCTTAAACCCGTATAATCTAAGAACTGGAAAACTTGTATATCGTTCCTAATAACACAACAGATATTGCCATATTTTGAACTGTATTGCCAATCTTGTCAAAATCTCGTCAGGATCTCGTCGAGATCGAGATCATATATTCTAAATTGTCGGAAATTCGAGATCGATATGCATGTTTCGAGATTTCTCGAGATCAAGCTGGAGATCGTAGAAATCTCGTCTCGTCTCGTGCGCAACACTAGTTTTGGCCCAAAACTTTTGGGATAGACGTCATCAGTGTCTGGCGGATTATCTCATGCGATGGCTGCCATAGGAAACATTACAACTTGAGAGATAATTACTTGTCCGCATTAGGGATTAGGATGAAAAACAGTAAAGATGTGTGAGATACAGTTAAGGAAATAAATTAATGACTCTATTTACTTGACGCGTAGATAGTCAGTTTTGAATGCACGGTAATTTGTAACCAGACATGTATCGTTCTGAAAGCCTCGTAGGCGAAGGATGCTTCACCAAACCATACAAACTAGCTGCATAGAGTTTCCTTTGGTTGAAAATCGGATACGTGTTTCCGTGAAACGCATTCACTGGCTATCAAACTGATTATTATTCGTAATTTATTGGCAAACTATGACGATATTTTGGTGAAACTAGCAATTCCTAAATTATGTTTTCCGGGTAAAACTAAGATCTATCGAAATTTAATGTTGAAACATCCAGATCCTACAGAAGAATTGAAATGATTGAAAACAGTAAATTACAACTAATTATCTTAATTTTCTATCGATATGAAAGCTAAGATCAATTACAAGGTCTACCAATAATCCAATTTCCTCATTTTATACAATGTAAACAAACATTACGGTTGCAGGATTCATTATAAATTTATAGCAAACATGTGCAAGTGAACTATGACATCTTATTCCTTAGGCATTACAAGAGAAAGAGGGTCAGTAATAAATTACAAAAGAGAAGAGGAACAACTTCGAGACATAAAAGGAGGGCGAAAGAAAAAGTTCGAATGGGCCAACGGAGTCAACGAGCAACCTGAGATTATGAAATTCACTTAAATCCTCGTTAGTGTTCGCAGCTTTACGCGAAGCAAAACAGGTTGAAGAAGAAAATAGAAGTGGGTCGAGCGTAGTGACGCCAAAGCAATGATGTTAGTTGTAACATTTCCGTGACCTGTACCAACCTCTCTCGTACAAACTTACGAGTATGGTTAGTTACTCTGCTCTTCCACAAAGGAAGAAGAGTCAACCATCGAGATAATTGGTAAATATTGGCAAAGAATTTTTTCAAATAGTAGAATCTAATATTATTTATTTTCTGTAAAACTGCATGAGATACACAACCGTGTATTTAATCCTTTTTATTGTTACTGTAATTTATGTTATTATTATATCATAAATTACAATACAATGTAGTTTTATTACATCAAATATATTTATATTTACATTACCAACAGAAGAACAGCCTGTGTTCTGGAACTTAAGTTGCTTGAGGTATTCTCCATAGGTAAAATAAAGTATTCTGTCGGTTAAAGTACTCTGTTTTATCAATGACTTACTAAAGACACCGGTAAAGGAGAACATACTGTTAGTAAGAGAGGATAATCTGTTGGTAAAAATGCTCTGCTTTACCAGAGGTTTACAAAATACACCGGTCAAACAGAACACTCTGTTATATCAACAGAGTACACGTGCACGCCCTTAACCTAAGTCCCTGAACTCAGCTATAATCTCTACTATAACTCACTATATTATTCAATCTGCATTATTGATATGAAATTTTCTTAATAGCATTTATGTACTCATCATTTTAATGGATTTCATATCATGTATCTGTATTCTAAGTATTTGTCAATGAAGATGACATAAATTCAGAAATATTACAAAGAAAATTGATAGGATTCTTAAAACCCTAGACTAATTCAAAATATTACTTTAATACGAAGTTTAATGATCAGAAGACTTTCAACTTGTTTACCATATTCATCGAAACAACCATTTAGCAATCTTAGTTTTACTCTTGCTCTTATCTTCTCCATTTTTCGCGGTAATAGTTCTTGCAGCCAGAACACGTGCAACAGGTGCAGCGAATCAAGCACGAACACCGCAGCTAATAGCAAAAACGGTTATGAAGAGTGCAAATACTTGCGTCTCGTTTAATACGGCGATCATGCGCGTGCACGTGCTACGAGAAAGATTTTATAGCTGGCGCCCCATCGAATACAGATTGATAAATCAGTAATTTGTTAAACAAGTGTATTAATTTAATTAATATTCTCAGCTTCTTGAAAGTTAGATAATCGCGAAAATCATAATGTAATATAAAGATTCCATTTAAAATGAAGATCTTGAGATTTATGCTTGTACATTAGTATGTTTTATTGAAAATGACTTAAGTGATACAGTGTCGAAATATTTGAAACATACACACGGGGGTGTCAAGGAAAATGTGATGCATCTTTCAAGGTTAATTCCTTATACAAAATAAAAACGAAAAGCCTTTGGCATTTTATAATTTGATACTCTGTTACTAAGATATAAGCAATTAAAATTTACCGATGTGATTCACGGTTGGCACCATTTTATATCTCAGTCAGCTGACTACGTGGCTGCTGAACGTGCGTTCATTTGCACAAAAACTTCAATCGTTCATTGAAGATTGAAGCACGAAAAAAAAATATATCAATCTAGAAAAAGATTTTATATTTTCGGTTGAATGCCCTGTGCAACAGAAAATTAAATAAGAAATTTTCTCGATAAAGACGTTATAATTTCCCATAAAATGAGAGAGAAAAATGCACCGAAGAAACGCCAGGAGAATGTGAAGTAACGAGAACAAGGGTGAAAATAAACGAGCGCGGTGTCGCGGAGCTAAATAACGGCAATAAAGAGTTTCAAGGAAGGCGACGCAGACCAGACGGTCGTCTAGTATCAAGGGTACCGTACCTCCGATTGCGCATGCAAAATGCATCACGCATACAGAGACGTCTGATATGCAGATACCAGTGTATAATTGTCCATGTCACGCAATCGTCGCGACGCTGTAATTCTGCGACACAACGTGCTCCCAGTCGATGAAGACTTGAAAGTGGCGTTGCTATCGGATCGAATGCAATCACGCATCAATGAAGCCTCCATACTGGGAAAAATTATTCCACGAGGCTACACATAGATAGTTAACAAAAATTCACGTTTTGCTAAATTTTTGACTGAGAAGAGTAGAATAGTTTATGACTACGTTGATTAATAACAAAATACGCCTGTGATCACTTAAACAATATCACATTTAACGTTTAATTGTTTAAAAATCG